TAAAATTCAAAGACCTCAGTAATTTTCAAATGTTAGGAGGTAATATCAAGTAGATGTTTCATGCAGAAGAGATGGGTAACTAATCCAGTCTCTCACTAAACATTAACTAGATTAAGGTGAAAATGTTGACTTATTTCTAATTATTATCCTGAGGTCATTCTAACATCTTTATTTGCTAATTCCTTTGTATCTATTTCTAATTCAAGTCAGCTACTTCTCAGACATTGTGGGGTTAAAACATTTGCAGTGTGGATTTGGGGTTTGTTCTGGCACTTAATCTTAGTGATATAAACTGAAATTCTTTTTCTGAAAGAATGAAGATGGTATCAGTGCACACTCTGCCAGGTTTAGTGAGATAACTGGAGTTAAAATGCTTTTCAAGTCCCATGCAAGTAGATTGGATCCCACCTCCACATTTGGGATCTAAGCTGAAGTTAATCAATTCCCACTTTGATTGTGTCGTGGATTCAGCTATTAACTAGATTTCTTTTTCAAGTTTCCCTTTTCTTAACTCCTTTTTTTTTTTTCCATGTGTCTAATTACCTACCATGAAGAAGTTGCATAGAAGTTTGCAGCTTTCATGACTACCTCACTCCTTTTCCTAAAGTTATATAATCAAATAGAACATAAAGAGTCTGGCCCACTGCTGACAATGTGACATTAAGCTAAACTAAGTTTCTTGTCATGTCCTTGTCTGTTTCATGTATGTGAGCTGGGGGATGATTGTGTTAAGTGTCTGTCGCATTAAATTTAAAAAAAATGCAAACAGCCTCAGTAAATCATCTTAAGCTTAGCCAAAGCGGAGTAAATGTTTGTTGCTTTTCCATTGTTTACTCTAAATTACTTTACAGTAAGTTCCCACTGCTCCCACCCATGGAGTCTGCTTTTTAAGTTTCATTGTCTTCTCAGCACAGCTGTTTATGTTTCTTAAGCCCTGCTTGTTTCTTATTTGTGTGTGCCTCCAGCGTTCTCCAGCCGCATGCGTTTTGGAGGAATGCTTTCTCCGACTATTGCAGACTGCTTTCTGCTTATTTCTGCCTTCGAAAAAGAGACGGCTGCTGCTTGACTTTTTTGGTGTGCTTTGGAATATCAGAGATGCTAACGGAAGTTTTAATTCACTGCATATCTGTGTTTAGACAGTAATTCAGGTTGTCGTGAGTTCCCACTACAGATGAAACGGAGACACAAGTGATTTCTGTGGAGAAACACCCCTCCATTGTGAGTTAGCTGCTCTGTTCATCTCCGGCTTGTCAGCTGGGTTGAAACAATCGTGCCTAAGTGGTTCCAGCTGTTGACCACGTGGTGCTTGGCATTTTCACCCCTGTCTTTTGTGATATAATTGACATGTTCTGCCCTAAGGCAGCCAGATGAAAAGCTGAATTGTTTACTGTCGTGCCTGGGGTGAGTGGGTGGACATGTTCGGTGTTCGGTAGAAAAGCTTTAAGTCATACTAGTAACAGACTGAACTGAAGTTTAACTTTGCCAAATGAACTTTTTCCACTGGCGTTGTACATGAGCTTTCAATATTTGCATTGATTGACAGGGTGGAATTAGCTGCTCCTCAAAAAAGAGGTTTTGATTGCCTATGCGGAATCAACGAGAACCTCACAAAGGCAATAAGTAGTTAGTGTGTGTCATGGTAAAATGATTAGGGTTAGTTCTCTTAACAAATTATTCTCCTAACTAATTATTATCCTTAGGTCATTCATGAAGAAGATGGACTTCTTCATGAGCACATTCAGTCCAGGATGGGTTTTGCAAAATGACTTATAGCAAGGAACATACTGACACCCTTGGGATTTAGGGTTCTAAGATGCTAACTCTAAAAGTTGGAGAGAAGGACAGATGTAAAGGAATGAGCGATAAATATCCCATAGGAAATCAGGAGGACATCACAAGGAGAAATGAAACTTTGCCAAGGGTTGAAGCCAATAAATTGTTTTCAAAGCAGTGTGCACCGTAGTATCAAGAGCATGTAACAATTTCATAAGTGAAACACCGTGATAAAGCTGGAGACATTTGTTCTAGTGCACGTGGTTCTGCTCTAGCCTTACCAACATTCATATAAAAATTAAAGGTTGGCCAATTGTGACATTCCTTAACCAGCACAAGTGTGGGGATCACTGGTGATCGCTGTGCAATCCTTATGAATACACATTGGTTCTTTCTGGACCCTTGACACTGTAAGGGGGCAGGCACCTCAAGGCTCTGTAATTTTTGATAAGTTGTTAAATCTGTGTTTGCCAGCATCCTCCGCTCATCAATGCAGCCAAGTGTGGCCTGTGCAGCTGATGGCCTTGGATCCTCACAAAGGGCGTGGCAAGGATGGAGCAAGGAGCAGTGGGCGAGTCTGAGGAAGGAGGGGGGATGCAAAAACAACCATGGAGCCTTGCTGGTTTGTTGTTGCTTTTGTTGCCTGGGTGTTTGATGTTGTGTCCAAAGCATCATTGCCAAGACCAGTGCTGAGGAACTTTCTCCCTATGCCTTCTTCTGTGAGCATTATGGTTTCAGAGCTTACATTTAAGTCTTTAAGCCATTTTGTGGTTAATTTTTGTGGGTGCTATGCAATAGCAGTCTGTCTTCAGATACTTTCAGAAAATGGAGACAAGGAGCAAGGCTCATCAGGAGCATCATGCACTTGAGAGGTCTTACAAATGAATCTCAAATGCAAGGGGATGTTCTTCATTAAGTTTGATATTTTTGGTTCACCTGGGGTGGAGAGGGGAGAGTTTGTCAAGGAAAAGTTTAAAGCTAAGAATCCAGCAGAACTGGTGACTATTCTGCTATGTATTACTTTTATCCAAGTAGTTCTGTTTCTTTGTGACCACATGCAATCAGTTATTGTGTAGTGAAATTGGCTGAGAAGTTTTTCCCAGCAATTCTACTACCACTGTGGGTTGCAAGATCTTTGTCCAAAGCATGGGGTGGATGGGGAGGCAGGGGGGCGGGGCGGTGTCATGATGCCTGTCAAAACTTGGTTCTTACGGCCTTCCCTGTGAAAACAGAAGCATTTCAGTGCCCAGATCTTAAAGCCTAGCAGACACTGGGAGCATGTTCAAATTTGTTGGACCAATTTAAGTTTCACTGACAAATGGCTATTAGGCTCAGTCGTCTCTACGTGGCCTCTGTGTGCTCGCTTCCCGCTAGCAGCCACTTGCTGCCAACACCACAGGCTTGAGAAAGTGAGCCGTTCCCACGCTCCCACACACCAGCCCGGTTGGGATGTTTGGCACTAAGACCAGCTCCGTGAAGCTCCTTGCCTGCCTCCCGTCTCTGTAGCCTGTCCCAGGAAGTCTTACTGGTGTGAGGTGATGATGGAAAAATCTGCCACCTAAACAGTTAACAGCCCCTGAAGTTTGGTCAAGAGATTTTTGTTGAGTACATGTTTGATTCTCAAAGCTTGGTTTCTTTTCCTGTGCCCTCCTCCCACCAATCTCCAACCTCACTGGACCATTTTGCCAGGTTCTCTTAAAGTCACCAAATGGTGTCCTGACCCATCCTTTGGTAATGAGGTGTGAAGTGACTGAAGGGTTGAAGGCTGTGGGAGGAGGAGAGGCAAAAATCATGGGACTGGAAAACCCACAGCCCTTTTCATCAACTCTGGATAGCTGAGTGAAGAGTCACTCTCAGCTCTTTGTGTTTCCAGGTTACAGCCTTTCAAAGAGTAGCATTAGGTGCCATTCCATTTGATTAGGGCCTTTTTTTCCTTCAACTTCATGAATTCTCTAAGTGTTAAGGATCACTGCAGTGAAATCTGGGTCATCAGTGGATTGCACAGTAACAAGAAAGTGGGGCTGGGGTCAAGCTTCACTCATTAACATGAACTTGTTGCAGGTCCAAGGGCCCTGACAGCTATGGGGCCACCATCCTTCAATGGCCCCTTTCTTCAGGAGGCATGGGTTTTAGCTGAGTAACAGCAGTAGCACTAATTTTTTTGTAGGCATTTGTAACTGATTTCTAGAAAGTTGTCCAAGCAGTAAATAAGCCAACTTTGGGGTCAGGCTCTCTGGTCTCAATGACCTGTGTTGTCACATTTTAATTAGATAAGTTAGGCCAAAATTAATGATTTAATCAATTTTCCCCATCATAAAAAATGTGTATATTAACAGTCCCTAGTCTTTTTCTTTTTTAAAGATTTATTTATTTATTTTGGAAAGTCAGATATACAGAGAGGAGGAGAGACAGGAAAAACATCTTCCATCGTGATTCACTCCCCACATGGTCACAGTGGCTGGGGGTAGGCCAGTCTGAAGCCAGGAGCTTGGAACGTCACCCAGGTCTTTCACGTGGGTTCAGGGGCCCAAGTACCTGGGCCGTCCTTTGCAGCTTTCCCAAGCATACTAATAGGGAGATGGTTTGAAAGTGGATTTACTGGGAATCATACCGTGCCCATGTGAGATGTTGACATTGCAGATGGCTGCTTAACTGGCTGTGCCATAACACTGGCCCCACCTTTGTTTCTTGACATTTCTTTGTATCATCATTTGTGTGAGCCTTTCTCCTTACCTGGATTGTGGGTTCTTTAAAGAAAGGAACTGAGTTCGACATGTTTTTGTACCTTTAGTACCTAGCATATTCCCTGATATGGAATGATTGATTCCTTCTGTTTATAATGTAAATTAATTAAGGCTTTTATAATGACTTATGTTTTAATAATGCATGGCAACAAACAAAGCACTCTTATTCTTACTATTTTATTTTACCATTTTATTTATTTTATTTTATTTGAGGTTAGGAGGGCAGAGATGAAGAAATGTGATGTGAGTACTAGCTCAAGGTTTCCCCAACCAGCACATGTCCAAATGACATTGTCTTGCTTCTTCAACCAGCCCATCTTGCATAGACAAAGACTGGTTTTGCAGTGTGGGCCCCAAGACTGTCTGATCCCACTGTACTTTGCATCCATGGGCACCTGTGGCAGCACCTGCAAGTGGGTGCCCAGGACTTCTGAGAAAGAAGTTATTTCTGCATTGTCTTTAACCACACTTGGTTTCGTACAGGTCACCACAAATGGCATCATCGCCATGAGTGAACCCCCAACCAAGGAATCCCAGCCTGGGCTCTTCCCACCAACCTTTGGCGCAGTTGCACCCTTCCTGGCAGACTTGGACACTACAGATGGCCTCGGGAAGGTTTATTATCGTGAAGACTTATCCCCCTCCGTCATTCAGCTGGCAGCGGAATGTATCCAGAGAGGGTTCCCAGAGGTTGTTTTCCAGCCCAATAGTGTGGTGGTTGTCACCTGGGAATCTGTGGCTGCCTACCAAGGGCCCAACAAAGACCCTATCCAAGAAGGCAAGGTAAGCACTTGCTCAGGTTCAAGTTCCTCTGAACTTGAACTGGCGTTGTACTCTTTTTTCTTTTGGTTTGATGTATTCTTGTGTACTTTATGCCTGAATTATTGATTAACACAGGAAGCCCAAAGCAAAATCTAGCAGGATGGTCATTACAGGTCTATAGCTTCCAAAAGCTTTTTGGCAAGGCTGTAGAAATCTGAGTTTCCATGATAGAAAAAAAAAAATTCCCCATAGTCAGAATGGTGTTAGTAAATGTGGCATCTCTGACTGTCCTTACTTGAGATGGCAGTTAGTGAAAAGATAGCTTCTAAATAAATAGAGAAATTCTTACTATTAAATGATGGGTTAAAAATGAGGTACTCTGAAAGAGTGGGGACATAAAGACAAGGTCCAGAATGTATTAAGGAGACTAGAGCAGGTTTGTATTATGTGAGTGGTTCAAAACACAAGCATTAACATGGCCCAGGGGTAAGGACCTCTGGGGGACACATGGTCAGGAAAGGCCTGACAGACCAGGCTGTAGAGCTTGAACTTGCCCTTAAAGAAAAGAGGACAGTCATATACCACATAGCAGTGTTTCAGTCAGTTGTGGACCACACACACACCACTTGACCCACGAGCTTAAATCACCTCATGAAATCACTGTGATGTTTACACAATGGCAGAATTACTTGACATACTTACTAAAATGTATCCTTCTTGTTAGGTGATGCGTGATTGTATTTGGGTACGTCAGGAAGCCATCATCAGATCTGACATGGGTTTTTAGGATAGGCCTTAATCTTTCCTTGGCAAAGTACTTTCTCTCCAACATTTGATGTTTGTAGTATATAAAGTAGAGAAACTTGAAAGATCCCAAAGCACCCCACATAAATAGGGAATGTTCCAGACTGGTGGCTCCCCAAAGAGTGTGCCACAGAGCATAGTACTATAAGACAGATCTTAGGGAAAGGCTTCCCTGGCCAAATGAGTCTGGAAAATGCTAAGACCTCCCCCTGACACCACAAATAGGACACCTCCTGTCCCACAGAACGTATTTTGGGAAGGTCTGTTATAGACCAGTGTCAAACATTTTGTTTTGTCCTCTGTTAATTGGCTGAGCACTTTAATAGAAAAACTGTTTCATTTCTTATTTTTCTTGAATGCCTTTTTGTCTTGTGAGTGTGGTGGCAGGAGAAGAGGGAGTTAATCTGTTACACTTCTGCATACCCGTTTCTTCTTTTTTTTCTTTTTCCATTTTTTAAATTATATTTTTGACAATCTTTACATAGCTAATTAGAGTACAAAGGTTCAAGGGCTACAGGAAAGTGGGTAAGACTATTATTTCCACATTGTTTCCTTCGTGTATCTGAGGGAAAGGGGGAGATAAAGGGAGAAGCCACACCCAGTTTCCCACTCACCCCAGGTCTCCAATGTGGGGCATGCTCCAAGGGTCTTGCTCAAGTGGTTTTGATAGTTCACCAGTTCTGAATTGCTGTCAGTCTCGTCATTCCAAGCACGATGAGGTCACTGCAGAATTCACTGGTTGACATAGTCCATCTTAGAGTCTCCGTTTGCCCTGTTTTTCACTGCCAACATATGGCTGAGGTAGTTGATTGACTTGTTTTGTCCTCTGTCTTTTCAGGGTTAGGGTTCTGAGTCTGGCAATTTGATTGGGGAGATCCCCAAAGAAACTTTATCTGAGGTGAACCCAGACCAGATTCTTGTGTGTACTTGGAAGTACAGGACCCCATACAGTCAGCTGGTGGTTGCAATTGCTGGGTTGGTTCTGTTTCCAGCCCTGTCTTCCACTGGAACCAATAGGTGTTGCAGTCCATCCTGGTTCTGCCTAGCACATACTCAGCCCTCACATAAACCAGTGGGAGCTGCAGCCTAGTCAGAGCGACCCACAATAACCCCCACCAGGTCCGTTCCCTATCCTGGTTTGCCGGTGTGTGCAGCAGACTAGTCCAGTCTGTCCCACATCCCATTCAGTTCTCATACATGTCAATGGACATTGAAGCCTAGTTCAACCCAATGGGCCCGACTATCCAGCCCACATACATGCTATTGGGTGCCTTTCTGTCTAGCCACCCCTGCCACTGTCCTGGTTTTTGTGCTCTCCATTGGGGGTGGTAATCCAAGAGGAAGGAGCCCACTATTTCCCTTCTAGGCCACTCCCACTCCTTGATTATGCACTCTCCAGGTGGTTCTGCAGTTTAACTTGACAGAATTAGCCCCCTGTGCCAGTATCTGCCAGTTGATAATGCGGCAAAGCCCAACCAACCCTCACCCACTGATTTAGTGCATACCCTTTTCAACCACTGTATAGAATTATTTGCAGTGCCCTGATGGTACCTTTTTGTGTGTAGCCAGCCATATGTTATACTTGCCGTCCATTCTCCTTGGGCATTCCTCTCCCTGACTCTGCAGGTGACAGACTCCTGCCTGTTCCTTCATCCTCACCCTTCTGTGAGGGCTGGATCCACTGGCTTCACTCCTGTGGCTCCTATATCACTTTGCACATAACTGCTGTAGAGTTGTGCAGTTTGTTCATATGTCAATCTTCCATCCTGGACTATAGGTTCTCCAGGGCAGGGACCATGGGTTTTTCATATTCATATCCACAGAACTCAGAGCAATGCATGGTATGTAGTAAAGATACTGCCATTTGAGGAATATGTCTTTGTGCCTAGCGCCTTGCGTATTAACTTTTCATGGTCTTCCCAACATTACTACTAAGTAGGTGATTTTATCTCTATTTCACAAAGAGAAAAACTTAAGATTGGCGAGTTCAGTGGCATGCCCAGGGCCACCTGTGTAGAACACAGGTGTGAACTCTGCTCTGTTTTCTCTCAGTCTCATTTGGGGGCGGGGAGGTTGTGTTTTGGTGGTACTCAATAAATATTTGCTTTATGGTGAATGTGGATATATGTATCTAATGGCCATGGAAACAGATTCTATTGGTTAGAATTTTCCGAGTTGCATGAGAGTTAGGCTACCATCTAGAAGGGATGAAGAACATCCAGCTCATGGACCATATAAGGCATGCATGTAAAGTGAGACTCCACCCAGGCAATCGCAGGTGGCTCAAAATTCAGCAATCTGTAGCAGGCTAATTTTAAGTTGATAATTTTGTGTGGCCTCTGAATGATATTATAAATATCCACATTTCTCTTGGCAGAAAAAAGATTCCCCATCCATGGGAGGAGCCATCTGTATTATTTTTGGTTAACCATAGTTCCAGTTATGCAGAGGATTTTCATTCATTAATCAGCAAATTTCATGTTGACCTAGCTTTAAGGGACTTAAGTGGGCGCTGTCCTGGAGCATATTAGCCATGCTGCACAGGTGTTTCTTTTAGAGCTGGGTGAGACTTGCTGTGTCTGTAGAGCACTTCCAGGAGGTAGTGTGCTGTGCAACACAGTTTAGGATCTGCAGCTGTTTTCCTTAGTAATTGACTTTTAACTCATCTTCACAGAGAAACACGTTCCAGGCTGTTCTGGCCTCCTCCGAATCTAGTTCCTACGCCATTTTCCTTTATCCTGAAGACGGCCTGCAGTTCTATACGACATTCTCAAAGAAGGAAGAGAACCAAGTCCCTGCAGTGGTGGCATTCAGTCAAGGTTTAGTGGGATTCTTGTGGAAGAGCAATGGAACATATAATATATTTGCTAATGACAGAGAATCAATTGAGAATTTGGTCAAGTATGCTTCTTTTTAAATAATTTTAATAGTGTCTCCTCTTAATGTTATTCTTTTGTTATCAAGGATTATGTAATAGATTTTATAGATCATGTCTTAAGTGTTCCTATAGATTTAAATCTTATATATAGCTGTTGTAATTATGAAGTACTTTTTTTTTTCTGATGTGTTTAAGGCTATATATTCCTAGAATGAACAGGTATGCTATTTTTTAGATATCCTCATTTAAGACTATCTAATATACATAAGAGATAAAGGTTAGTGAATTATCTCTCCTGCTTGTGAACCCAAGGCTAAGGAAGCCATTTCGCCCTGCACTAAGTATTGACTAGTGTTCAATCAAACAGTGCTAACAGGCTATTCTGTAGATTTTGTCAAAAGGGGAAACAGCTAAATCTAGGGTTTTTTTTAAAAACCTTTCATCTCTCATTCTTTTCAAAATAAGGAATTAAATCTACCCTCCCAATTTCCTATCAGCAAATCTAGCATAAGGCTTCCTCTGTCAGTTGCTTATTGATGTATAGATAAACTTTTAATGAGTAGTTTTACAGAGCCCTGATGTATAACATTTGCCTATTTCTACTCTTACTGTGGTCATGTTAGTCAGTGAAGAGTAAAGAAAAGATGCCCCAGTATATACATTCTCACTATAAAGGTACAGTAACCTTCAAGGATATGATAGTGAAATATTTCGGACATGGTGAATTTTATTTCTCACCCTTGAAAATATAATTGATTTGCTTATGTTTAATAACATAACTATGTTTAACTCTGACTTTTAAATTTCCTAAAAATGTAATAACTAACTCTGATGAACTGGTCCAGTTTCCCATGCCACAGTACCTGAGTTCTTGAGAGACAGATTTCCTGTCTCCTAGACCACTGTAGATTTTGACCCAGCAGCTTCCACGGAGTGGTGACCCCATCATTGTACATAACTGTGTGACAACACTTCCAGCCACATACTCATGAAAACAGTAAAAATGATACAGGAAGAAGTAGAGATCAGGAGTATTGTGATTTTGTTGTTGTGAATTTTTTTCATTTTGCTTTAGAATTTGCTTTTTGCCATTCTCTTTTGTCACAATAAGGTAAACTGAGACCTAGCCAAGATTCTGCAGTCCTTGGCGATGGGATTTCTAATAAGCCATGTTTGCACTGGTCACAAAGCATTTCTGAAACCAAAGATGTGGTTTCTTATGCTTACACACACAAATTTTCCAACTTGAATTCAGCTGGGTGTCTGACTACTCCCTTAGTCCTGGCACTGACTTCTGGACTTAGTGCAGACCCCACAGATCAAGGACTCAGCCCTACAAGCCCAACTCTATTTCACGTGCCAGTTGCAAGCTCTGTAGTTCAACCTGTGTTTCAGACTAACCAGTTACAAACCCTGGGGGTTTCCATGACCCAGTCCTCCTATTTGATAATTTGCTAAGACAGCTCACCAAACTCAGGAACGTGCCTTACATGCTGTTGCCAACTCAATATAAAGATATAACTCAGGAACAACTGACAGACAGGGTGACTAGGGCAAAGTATGAGGGGAAGAGTAGCACTTCCATGCCAGTCCAGAGGCTCCATCCTCTCAGTTGTTTTTTATGGATTTATTTTTATTTATTTGAAAGGCACAGTTACAGAGAAAGGGAGAGAGAGATGTTCCATCTGCTGATTCACTCTCGAAAATGACTGCAATAGCTGAGGCTGTAGCTAGTAATCCAGAGCTTGTCCCAGGTCTCCCACATGTGTGCAGGGCTCCATGCACACGGGCCATCTTCTGATGCTTCTCCAGGTACCTTAGCAGGGACTGGATCGCCTGGGATCATATAGAACTCTGATTTTATACAGAACTCTGATGTCTCAGGTGGTGGCTTTACCGGCTACACCATGATGCCCACCCCACAGATCCTCCCTCTTAGTGCCTCTATGTGTTCACCGTCCTAGCAGCTCTTGAAGCCCTGTCATTTGTGGTGTTTATGGAGATCTCATTACACAGAATCATTGGCATTAGGGATGGCCTCCATCTTCATTCAGCACCTCTTTCCTCCTTGGAGGTGGGAGGTAGAGGTCTTGAACCATGTAACTTTACAATCCTGGCTTGGTCTATCTGTCCAACAGGCTTTATCCTGAAGCTTTCCAGGGGCTCCCAGTCACCAGCCAAATCATTAGTATACAAAAGTCACTCTGATCAGTTTGCAAATTGCAAGGGTTTAAGGAGTACTTGGAATGCTTTGTCAGGAACCTGGACAAAATCATTGTATTGTTTCTCACATCACATCTTGTCATGGAAAGAATAGTGGAGAACATAAATGACTTCAGTCCAAAGTCACCTTCAGTCCTGTGAGCTACCTTAACTCCTAAGATGGAGAATATAACCAGTGATCAGTGCAAGTAACATTTTAAGTTCTGACGTGGCCCTCGAGCAGAGCTCTGGAGTGGTTGTAGGTGAACCCTTGCTGGTGTTGTGCCCATTGAACACTGCCCCTCCTCCTCCTCCCCCAAAAAAGCCTTGAACCAACTTTCCCAGTCTCCAGCCCTTGCTACATTTAGAAGCAGGTGATGGCTTTCAGATCAGTGTGAATTTCCCAGGGCTGACTTTATCTTGGTTAACTGTGGCCATTTGTGACTGCTGGCCTGTTTCTAAAAAGCCTACTCTTCTCCCTAGGAGCAGCAACTCTGGGCAGAAGGGTATCTGGGTGTTTGAGATTGGGAGTCCTGCAACGGCCAATGGCGTGGTCCCTGCAGATGTGAACCTCGGACCCAGCAATGGAGAAGAGTATGATGAGGAGGAGGATGAAGATTATGACCTAGTCACCACTCATCTGGGCTTGGAGGATGCTACCACCCAATCCTTCCCTTATGAGACTGCGAGAAGGGGAGACAGTGATGCGCACAGTGTGCCCAGTGTCCTCTCCCCACGTCATGTGGTTACTGAGAGATCCCCTGGGCCTCCCACAGAGAGGACCAGATCTTTCCAGTTGCCAGTGGAGAAGTTTTCCCAGCAGCACCCACAGGTCATAGACGTGGATGAAGTCGAGGAAACAGGAGTCGGTAAGACCATGGATCTGGTAAGGTTCTCAGGCACTTGGGTGTTAAGGTGCAGGAGTACTGCGAGGGGCTGTCAGTTGTGTGCATCATATGGTGGTTGGTAAGGACGAGAACTTGGGAAGTAGAGGCTGACCTCTCGCAGTCAGCCAACATTGGTGTGTCAGCCTGATGATTTCAGAGAAACAGTGATGTTTGGGGAGCTGGCCTGTGGTTGTCCATTTTCCGGTTTCTCAGTTCTCCATTCTGACTGTCTGAAACAGAATTGTGCTTCAAAGTTATTGTGGAAGTCAGATTTCTTATTTGAAACATCTAAGATCAGAAACATGGTCACCCACCTGAAACAACACATTAGAAGTTCTTTTGGCTCCTAACACAGCTTATCTTTGGCATTTATTTCCCTTTGTTTGGGAACAAGACTGGTTGATTATTTTTCCTCCCAGGCTAGGTCAGTTTTAGAGTTTGTTTCTAAAGCCTCAAAAATACAAAATAAGCAGTTCCCCTTTTCTGAAAGATAGCTTTTGAGTGTATCTTCTAAGATAATCATATCCTATTATTTGAACTCCAGCATACTTTAATTGTCCTTATAAGAGAGAATCACACTAAACTGTGCTTACTATTTTTTTTTTCTCTTTGGGTTGCCATATAACCTCATAAGAATCATGTAAGCGGGTTTGTGTAGATCTGTAGCTAGGCTCACCACGAGCCTACTATTTCTCCCGGGAAGTGATCTCAAGAGCCCCACTGCACCCTGTATTATTCACCCATTTTCTTTCTTCCCTACTTGTTTTGTTTGATCTCTCAGCAGTACCCACACCATGTTTGTTCTTACTGAGCATTCAGAGGACAAGCTGGATGGTTACTGAGTCATGTGCTCATGTCTGAGGTGCAGAATCGGAGAAGAACGGGGATGTGGGTCACATCATTCACCCTGCCTCCTGGAGTGGTGCCGACATCTGTCAGCCATTGGTACTCTGCCTTGGCTTTCAGAGTCATCTCCCCCAGATGTGCTGGACATTGTCACTTGCAGATGCTGAGCTTTGAGTCTTACCCTGTTCCCACCCATCCTTAGGTGTCTCTGACATTCTCACCTGTGAAATTATTCACATATCAGTAACCATAACAACTTCATGGTGATGCTGAGGCTGAAGAAACCCAAACTTGAGCCCACATGTATCTGTAATAGATGTGCTTCTGTCCCTCTGTTCCAGGCTTCACTGTTTTCTGGAAAGATCAGTCTTCTGTAGTGAGTGGCGTTGAAATAGTCCCTCACAGCCCCAGCTGGGCCCACAGCTGAGGCTTATGCGATCAGGAGTGTCAAGCAAGTTCAGTTTTGAGCCCCTCGAGTGCCTCTTCATACACACAGGGTGTTCTCTTTGGTGTCTGCAGCACTACCAGAATCTACCTAGGCTAAGATTTGCTTTTACATTGGCTCTTCATAGCCGGTTATGAACAGAATTACTCTTCTCTCTCTGATTCGCCCGCTCTTGTGCTTGGTAATTTCCTTCTAGGTGAATTTGCTCTAGAATTGAGATTCTGTGAGTAAGTTCATGATTTTAGTAAGTGAATTTGAGAGGTAAATTTTAAATAGGCAAAACTTCTCTTTGTGTCTTGGGTTAAAGCTTTTTAGGGCAGGTGTGACTCAGAGATTCATTTTGATGAGCTGGAATGTAAGAGCTTAACCTGAGGGGAAAGAAATGAAAAGGTTGTTAAAATGGCAAATGTTCTGTTACTACATGTGTTCTAACCACAAAAGAGATCATTAAAAAATATATTTCAAGCTCCCCAGAAGCGTGAAGCTGATTGTGCTGACTATGTTGTGGGGACACCATTGCATGCATGCTGTTGAGTGACAGTCGTTCAGGTTGCTGGATCACAGCAGATTTTAAGAACTCCCCGCTTTGATTCCTCTGCCCCCTGTAGTCCTCTCTGCCTCAGAGGTTTGGGTGATGGAGGCACATCGGTAGCTAAGCAGTTCCATGTGATAGATTTCAATGTGTTGTGGTGAGTCTGGACCCGTGGCTTGCCTAGCAGAGCTAGACTTCCTGCAGAGCTAAAGGGCACCAAGGCCCAAGGTATCAGAGTGCTCACCAGTGTGTCGTTGTGTTTTGGAAAACAGTCTTCAGCTACAACACGGACTCTCGCCAGACGTGTGCCAACAACCGACACCAATGCTCGGTGCATGCAGAGTGCAGGGACTACACTACCGGCTTCTGCTGCAGCTGCGTGGCTGGCTACACAGGCAATGGCAGGCAGTGTGTTGCAGAAGGTAAACTGCTGGTTTGTGTTCCATCTGTGGGAGCTGGGGGACTGGGTGACTGGTGCTTTAAATTTTTGGATTACTTTAGAGACATCTGCTGGCTTACCAAAAGGCTGTGGGTCAAGGGTATTCCAGTTACCATGCTTCTCTGTTTTCCCTCTCCCGCGCCTCTGAAATCCATTAGAGGATGGATTTCATAGATCATAAGGGGTGTTGCACCAGACTCCTTCCGTTGCTAACTCCAAAGTGCATTTGATAGTGCACACACCTTTGTTCTAAACTATGTCCTCAAAAGACCTAGGTCCTGGATGGAGTTTTGGCATAGTGATTAAGACACTGCTGGGGATGCCTGCATCTCATCTGAGTGCCTGGGTTCGAGTCCCAGCTCTACTCCTGGTTCCAGTTTTCTGCTGATACAAATCCCAGGAGACAGCAGGTGTTGGCCCAAGACCTTGTGTTCCTGTCACTCATGTGGAGAGCCATAGAGTGTTCCCAGTTTGGGCTTCAGCTGGCTCAGTGCCTACTGCTGCAGGGATTTGAGAGAGCCACGCTTTGGAGGGAGCTAGCACTCTCTTGACTTCTGCCTTTTAAGTAAAACAAAATAACTTTATGAATACCTAAATAATTTTAAAGCATCAGGTTTTATGTTCTCAGAAGGTGAGAATAATCCTTTCTGTGCAGGTTTAGAGAGTTTCCTGTGCAAGATCAGAAGCACATACTAGAATGAAAACAAAGCAAAAACAAAAATGAAGCAACTCAAGCCCCATTATATTGGACATCTTCACCTTCATATTCAGAAAAATTGTCTCACACATCATAGGTCGTTTATCTTGTGTGTTTAAAGGCAAACTTCCCATGACTGTACATAGTTTAACTCAATAAAACACCATTGGAGGACCCTTTGCTGTTTCTGAGATTCCCTGCCATTGTAACAGTTAAGTCATTATCATTTTAATTAGCTAAAAACAAAAACTTGCTTCCTTCTGGGCAGATTCCTTCAGGCAGATAAAGTGAGTATTTTTTAAATCTTGGCTTTAACAATGAATGAAAATTGAGCATGCTCCTTCTATTTGGGGGGATGATTTCAACATCTTTAAAGTGTTTTCTGTTTTCTTCCAAAGTGCATCACCCCAGGGAGAGTGTGCCTTTGTGTCTTTGGGCCTTGGCTTTCTCTCCCTCTCCCACCCTGTGCAGACCTTCCAAAAATTCATAGCAAACGCTTATTCTTAAGGAATCATCTCATTACCTCCTTCCATGCCAGAGAAAAGAGTTCTCAAAACATGAACAGATTGTGTTTGGAGTTAGCTCAGCTATGACCAACTGGTCAGTCACATATTTAGACATTATACCTGCACTCTGTAATTGTTTTGTGGTTTAAATATTTGTTGGATGTTTGATACCAAAAAAAAATTTTTTTTTCTAGCTCAATATTTGGTGAAAAAAAATTGTTTAGTTTCCTCCACTTGGCTCGCCTGCCTATTTCTGCATTGGTTCCCAAGATGCATTCTTTTGCTATTAACTTGCTGGTTACGAACACAGCATTCCCAAGTGTAATGACACAATATGCAGGGCTTCCAGTAATTCCATTTAGCAGCCTGAGTGTATGAAGACAGCAAAAAGCCATCAGGCCTTGGGCAACCCCCTCAGCTACCAGTCCATCTGTCTAGGGTTATTAAGAAAATTTGCTAGGCGAAGAGAACTTTCAAGAGTAAGTGAAAGCCATGTTCCTGACAACTTGGAGTCTGTGAAAATGAGTAAGTGTGATAACGGCAGAGGTTCCACAGCAAGCATAAATAATCCAAGATCACTTTTGTTGTACTGCTTCCTTCAGGTTTTGTTTTTATGAGATCTGATTCACATACCCTGAAAATTTTGATTTCTTTGAGAGGCAGACAGAGAGAGACCTGACATTTATACCAACAAGGTCCACAGTTTTAGGTTTAAACCTGGCTGAAGCTGGAATCGGGAAACTCAATCCAGGTCTCCCATGTGTGTGGCAGGAATTGCCTGAGCCACCACTGCTGTCTTGTGGGTTGGTGTTATCAGGAAGCTGGACATCAGACCCCAGGACTCCAATATGGCACATCTTCACCAGTGTCTTAGCTTTTTTAAAGTAGTCAATTGTGTGGGTTTTGTTATACCCATTAGATTGTTCAGCCATCATTTCTGATTCTCAGCCATTTCTTTTCATCACTCCGAAAGGAAATGCTGTGCCCACTAGCATTGTTCAGTCCCCGAAATTCCCCAGCCTCTGTTTTCCTATTGTGGACATTTCACACAAATAGAATCATACCATATGCAACCCTTTGCATCTGGCTTGTGTCATTTAGCATATTTTCAAAGTTCATGCATGTTTTAGCATGTGTCAGTGTTACTTTTTAAAAATATTTATTTATTGTTTTTGAGAGGCAAATTTACAAAGAGAGAAGGGGAGACATAGATAAAGGTCTTATTTCTGCTGTTTCAGTCTTCAAATGGCCATAGCAGCCACAGCTGGATGACTTCAAAGCCAGGAGCCTAGAGCTTCTTCCAGTTCTCCCACGCGGGTTCAGGAGCACAAGGACTTGGCCCATCTTTCACTGCTTTTCCAAGCACATTAACAGGGAGCTGGATCAGAAGTAGAGCAGCTGAAACTCAAACCAGCACCCATATGGAATGTCAGCACCCCATGTAGATTGGCATAAGCTACTATGCTACTATGGTCCCAGCATGTGTCAATATTTCATTCTTTCCTGCTACCCAAATAATATCCCTGTAGTTGTATATTCCATATCTTGATAATCTACTCATCAGTTGATAAACACCCTAAGTTAATTCTGTTTTTAGTTATTAATAATACTGTGTAGAACATTTGTATACAGTTTCTGTGTGGTTTTGTGTTCCATTTTCTTGACTCAGAATTTGACTCGGAATTTCTGAGTCATATATACAATAAGAGCTAATTCATTTTTTTCCTGACTAGATAATAATGAATACATTTGTTTATAGCCAAACATAATAGATATGCATAGGTTAGAAGAGACACGCTCACCATACTGCCTTGAGTAGCAGTTTGCCCCCAAGTGTGTGTAAATGTATATTATGAACATAATTTGCAAGCATAAGTTGTCTCCTGTGTAGGATTATGCTGTTAGTTTATTAGGAAAACTTTTTAAATTGTTATTTTCACCTTATTTGAAGGCGAGGGATAAAGAAACAGATCTTCAGTCAACTGTTTTACTCAAGTGCCCACAACAGCAAGGTGGGGACCAGGTCAAAGTCAAAATCGCAGAACTACATCCAGGTCTCCCATATAGGCTGGGATCCATGCTCCTGAGCTATTATCGCTGCTTCCAAGGGTGCACATTAGCAGGAAGCTGGATGAGAAGCAGGGTAGCCTGGACCTGAACAGGCCTTCCAATATGAGACTTTGGTGTCTCAAATAGCCACTTAACATGTTGCGCCTCAACGGCCTCCTCTGAAGAAATTATTCACATTTACCATAGCAGTCCTCAGCCACATCATTCCCAGTTCTTATAAGCAGAACAATCCGTGACAGAAAAGCCCACCTTCACCAAGCTGGTCCTGGCTCAGAGCACCTGCCTGTGATGTCTTCCCTGCCCACGTGTGGTCTGGTTCCCATAAGGTTCCAGGATGCCCCCTGCCAGGCCTAGCCCCAGGGAGTCTGACTGTTTTAGACCCTGAGGCATGTCACAGAAAGGGGCCATCCGGTTGACCCTGCTCTCCCAGCAAAACGATTCATTCTATCCTTTTCACATAAGTGACCAGCTACGTGGCCCTTTTCATTCTAGATCCCCTGTGATCTTGCCCTCTCCTGAGATTACTTCTTATACCACTCTCTGCCTCCCCGCACAATTCCCCAGTCACATAGTGGCTCCCCATTGAGACAGCTTTTGGTTTTTTTTGTTTTGTTTTTAAGACTTATTTTTAATTTTTTACTGGAAAGTTAGATATGCAGAGAGAAGGAGAGGAGGATCTTCCATTTGCTGATTCACTCCCCAAGTGACTGCAATGGCTGGAGCTGAGCCAATCTGAAGCCAAGAGCCTGGAGCTTCTTCTGGTTCTCCCATGCCGGTGCAGGGTCCCAAGACTTTGGGCCATCCTCAACTGCTTTCCCAGGCCACAAGCAGGGAGCTGGATGGGAAGTGGGGCTGCCGTATGGGATCCCGGTGCATACAAGGCAAGGATTTTAGCTGGTAGGCCACTGTGCCAGGTCCTGAGCCGGCTTTTATACCATCTTGTTCCAGACATGTGGAATAGAGTAGCAGGGTTGGAATATCCAAGGCTTGTGGCACATGCTCACAAGTCTTTCAGGAAGGACAGCTGCTTTTTTTTTTTTTTGCTTTGCTCCGTCCACCAATAGGTGTAGGTCCTTCCAGATGTTGAAAGTGACTGATACCTTCCTCTGTTTGTGGTTCAGGCTCTCCACAGCGAGTCAACGGCAAAGTTAAAGGAAGGATCTTTGTGGGTACAAGCCAGGTCCCCGTTGTCTTTGAGAACACTGATCTGCACTCTTATGTGGTGATGAACCACGGGCGTTCCTACACGGCCATCAGCACCATTCCCGAGCCTGTGGGCTACTCTCTGCTTCCTCTGGCGCCCATTGGAGGCATCATTGGCTGGATGTTTGCGGTGGAGCAGGATGGATTCAAGAATGGGTTCAGCATCACTGGTAATTTCCATCCAACATTAAAATCAGTGGGAACACAGTGGTATTTGGGGCCAGGAGTGGCTGGGGGAGGGCCTGGGAATGGATGGAAATGCAGCTGCTTGCTTGCAAGTGGATTATTGAGAGGTATTTGAAATATTTGGTGAGTTCTTTTTGACCATAGAAAGGATGACCTGTAGTTTTGCCCTGGCAATAGAATAAGGAGGTAAAATTCATACGAAGATGTCATTGCTGTACACACTGAGACTGACTGGAAATGTGTTTTTGGTCAAGGAGTGACTTCACAGTAGAGATTTTGAAGTCTCCAGCAAATCAGGCGACATGGGCTGCACCATCCTCACAGCCAAAAGTGTCTGACTGGCAACTTGCCTCCCGACCTCTGTGGAGCTTGTCCCTCAACCTCCCTTTCCAACATATCTGACATGGCTGCAAGACATCCTTAGCATCTGCTTAGAGAAGGGCAACTTGCCATTTTGTGGCTGATAAATGAGGCCCAGTGAATGCGCATGAATCTTAGGGACACTCCTGAAAATGGCCTTGAAGTTTCTTAGACACTGTGCCCTGCCAGGGAAGTTTCAGTCTGCAGCAGCCGTGTGGTAAACTCCTTTGGGGGACAATTCCTTGGAGCGGTGGTGGCTTTTTGCTCCACCAGGATGAGCCCCTCTTGTACACATTAGGACCCCATTCTTGGAAACAGCTCTGATGGAGGTACATATTTGACAAAGGCTGAATCCCCACCCTGTGGCCCAGTTCCTGAGGCACTCAGTACATGCTGAGTATCATAACCCTATCTGTACTACAAAACAAGATGCTTTTTTGTTTGCTGCAGTTCCTGATTTTCTGCAGGCTTCACATGCTGGGGTTGCTGGTGCTAATTGCTCTTGGTGACACCTGGTGATGTGCGCCAGCTCCAGCAGATCCCAGAGAGAGGAAATCTTCCCAGATCCCATGCCACAGCGAATCCTAGTTAATACACTGAGCCTTCTTAATCCCTCCAGGGCCTGTTGTCCCAGCTCACCATCTGCATGGGACTTGGGTGGCTGTTTACAAAGGTTGTCAAAGGGTTGGCAGGACCAGATAGTAAATGCTTTGCCTGAATGTTTTAGGCTGTATGATCTCTGTTAAAGCCACTCAGCTGGATCCTGGTAGGATGAACGCAATCATAGATAATATGCAAATGAGCACATGTGACTGTGTTCTGATAAAACTTTATTCATGGATACCAATATTTAAATTTGACATAATTTTCACATATTATGAGACAAAATTCTTAAAAATCTGAAGACCATGCTTAACTCCAAGGCTGTACAGAAATGGGGTGGACCAGGGTTAGCACTTGGTGCTGTGGTTTCCCAGCCGCTCCTGCTGTAAAAGGAATACAGTACTACTGTAGGAGAGAGAGAGATGGAAGGGGGTGGGGTGGGGAGTAGCTCTTGTTTTTTCCGTGTATCTGTGGCTGCTGCTTCACCCAAACCCAGGGGAACTCCTGAACCCACATCCCACATGTGATCCTAGGGTGGTTTCTAGAAGTGTTGATGGCTTGTTCCAAGCAACTTGTTCATACTGAGCAGCACTGACCTGTCACAATAATTATTACCTCACTATACTTGTGGAGCACCCAACAACACATTTCAGCATACTGTGTCTCATCTAACAGCCACAAGATAGACGCAATCCCTCTTTAATCACCAGCAGATAGCGAGCTTAGAGGATTAATTTGTTCACAATCACTCATTCAGTAGTTAGCAAAGCTGGCAGCCCAGCAAGAAGTTGCCTACTTTTTCTAGCACAACCACTGGCTATCTCTCTGAGATGCTGATATGTGGCTGGGAATTAGTTCCTCTCCTCTGTGCCTGGCTCAATTGTACCACATGGGTGTCCACCCTTTGTCCTCACTGTTGCCAGCCTAGTGGTCATCTGTTAAATGGAATTTCCTTTGGAAGCTGCCTGCTCACGGCTGCACTGGGGGTCTAGGGAGGGTAGGAAGGCACGTTCACTGGATGAATGACAGAGTGGCAGAGGATAATGTTGTTTTCCAGGGGGCGAGTTCAGCCGCCAGGCAGAGGTGACCTTTGTAGGATACCCAGGTAAACTGGTCATCAAGCAGCGGTTCAGCGGCATCGACGAACATGGACATCTGACCATCGACACAGAGCTGGAGGGCCGCGTACCCCAGATCCCAGCCGGCTCCTCTGTGCACATCGAACCGTACACAGAGCTCTACCACTATTCCAGCAATGGTGAGCCGCAGCCCTCAGCCCAGGGTCTGCCTGCATGACTACATTCTGCTTATCTGCCACTGCGGACAACCCTCTGGGGTTTGCAGAGGGAAACACCCAGGACCTTTGTTGCAGTCATTCCTCTCCCCGCCCTTCCCCACAACTATAGACATAGCAGATGCTTGTAGAGAATTTAACAGAAAAAAGAAAATGGGCATAACTTGAGAATTGTAAAACATGGGTGGATATAAATATTAGTAAACTCTATTACCTTTCAGCCATCTCCCAACAAAGACACACCTCAATCTATATCAAATATCCCAACATACTATATCATTTCAAGACAAAATAATCCTACCATGATATACACTCTATGTAGTTTTTACAAACTGTGTTTATTCTCCATTTGGTATTAGTTTTAAGCAATTTAAAGCTTAATGAAATGTTTCAAACTGCCTGAAGAATTTCTTTGTGCCATCTACCCAGCTTTGTTCCTTAGTATTTTGCCGCATTTATCAACTCTCAATATATTCTTTATAAATTTTCCACCCAATCAATTGAAATTGCTATATTTAGATATCAGTAGAGTTCATCCGCTAAATATTTCATGCATTTTTTTCATAAGAACAAGGATATTCTCTTACATGGCCATAGACTCATTATCTAAATCAAGATATTAAACATTGATATAAAAAATATACATACATAAAAAGAAAAAATGATACAATACTGTTATGCAATGTATAGTCAGACAGGTAGTTTTTATTTCAGTAAAATTTTGATCATCCCACTTTGTTATGGCTTAGCCCTTTCTGTTAACATCAAATTGTGACTAACAATTTTCATGAACTAGACTCCAGTAATCTTTTTTTTTTTTTAAGGATCTATACAATTCTGTTCAATAACTCTTATTGGACTGTTATTTTCTAAAACTTATGTTATTCCCAGCCTTCCCCCATCATAATGAGTTGAAATGACAATCTTTGCCATAGACCTTGGCCACATTTCTGTCTGGTTCTCTTCTAAGTCTCAATTCCTAGAAGTACTGGTTCAAATGATAGAGCCTTTTTAAAAGCTCTTGTTAATGTAATTGCTGCCCCAGAAGGTTGTACCAATGACTAGGGCTTTGTGACTTGGTTAAGCTCTCCTTCTAGGGAGAGGAGAGCCAGGGAATGGGGTGGGAATAAGCAGCCAGACCCCAGTGTGCAGAGGCTGCCTGCAGCCAGATGGTCTTTCTGGCAGCCAGCATGTGGGAGCTGGACAGGAACAGCCTACACTGAGCTTTTATTTATCCTTTGGCTTTAATCCTTCTATGGTGGAGCTAACTGCAGCAAAGTACAAAAATATAAAGAGTCCTTTATACTTTGTTTTTAACAAAATAGGAAGTTGGGAGTTTTGTTGCATGAGTAAATAGCAGCTTTCTTGTGAGTGCAGCGGTCTGTCTCTCCCCTCTGTTGAGGTTTGCACTGGTGGATTTCCCAAAATTGGCTACTGAAACCCATTTAATGCCCTGATTTTAAATACCATGGAGCTGCTGGATCCAGGCTGGTATGCAGCAGGCACTGTGTGTTGAATCCTTTGTGAGATAACCTACATCCAGCAGTAAGCACACTGCTGACCGTCTGGTACTTGCTCAGTCAGTGGCAGCTTATCTTTAACAACATTAATCTGCTTTATTCTAGAGACATTTCATGTATTTCCCCATGTAATCCCATGCCTTTACCCCAACCCATTTTTAAAAGAAGCTGAGGCTGAAGATGCTAGTAAGTGACTCATGGTCATACAGGTTGGGAGGAATATGAGGTGTAAATTCAAGCAGATCACCTCCCGGAAGTATGCTGTTTCTCCCCATCTCATGCTGCTTCTTGGAGTCTGACCAACTTATGGGGAACCCCTTGGGAAGAGAAGCAGCAAGTATTAATATAAATGCTACCAGTGGTAGTATGGGACTCGAGATGGCACAGTGAGTCTGGACACAGTGAACCTGTCTTACTGAAGCTGTTCTACCTGACCTGTCATCTGGTAGCAGCTTGAGCAAAGGATGCCACAGATGACTTTTATGCCCAGGATTAAACTTCTTGCATCTGTAAAGATCTCTTCTTTCTCTCCCTGCCTGATTTCCCTCATCCTGCTGTACACCAGTGATCACATCCTCCTCCACCCGGGAGTACACGGTGACTGAGCCCCAGCGGGATGGCACCAGCCCATCGCACACCTACACTTACCAGTGGCGCCAGACCATCACCTTCCAAGATTGCGTGCACGATGACTCGCGGCCAGCCCTGGCCAACACCCAGCAGCTCTCCGTGGACAGTGTGTTTGTCTTGTACAACCAAGAGGAACGAATCCTTCGCTATGCACTCAGCAACTCCATTGGGCCTGTGAGGGGTAAGGTTACCCCAGGCATTGTGTGGGTTCCTGCACCTGCTCCTGTTTGGGTTTGTGTGTTCTAAATAACCCTGCTTTTTACAGGTTGTCTGTGATCTTTTACTGTTGAGCAGTGGAAGAAAATTGTGCTGACATACTTTCTGATAAAGGCTAACTGCAAGTCTTACAAAAGCTTTCCTGCCTCTGGCCTTGTACCCGAAGACCTGTCTCTGACCCTGTCTGGGGTCAAGTGCAGAATGCTCACCTATTGAGTAACCTGATGGAGTGTTCCATCCCAAGAATGCTGAATAGGCTTCTGAACACTCTGCTGCTGATTTTTAAATTATGTGCTTAGGGTCTAAGAAAGTCTTAAGTAGAACCAGACCAGGAGCCTGAAATACACCCTCCCTGGGACAGCATGTGCCTGGGGATATGGGAGGAGCTGACTTTTGAGGTGTTGTGGCATCTTGGTGGCCGGGTTCAGGTGATGCACACCCAGGGTTTCCTGCCTAGCTGGGCCCTGGGCCTGAAGGTCTTTTCCTTTTCCCATTTTTCTTGTTCCTTCTCCATTCCTCGGTCACTTCTCCAGTGACATGATTATAACACAAAAGCAGAATAAAAGTGGTATTCTCCCATCTTTGACAACAGTGGGTCTGGGTGTCAGGAGTCAGCACATTCATTCCCAGAAGACCAGATAGTGAGCATTCTAGACTTTGCCTGCCACCCAGGCTCTGCCATGTCTTAGCTGTACCATCACAATATGAAAGCAGCAACAGACCACACAAAAACAAGTGGATATGACCGGTTGCTGGTCCCGCGCCAGGGCCATAGGAATAAGCCGGTTTTATGTTCCTCTCTGCTCTTCTGTCCTCCAGTTCTTGGCCATAGTTTGTACATTAACTTCCTGTGCAGATTAACTTCCTATGCAAGGAAGAGGCCTGCCAGGTTTCCTGAAGACCCACTTGGTTCCAATGTCTCTCCTCACAGATGATTCCCCCGATGCCCTTCAGAATCCCTGCTACATTGGCACTCATGGCTGTGACACCAATGCTGCCTGTCGCCCTGGCCCTGGGACCCAGTTCACCTGCGAGTGCTCCATTGGCTTCCGAGGCGACGGACGGACCTGCTATGGTACATCCTTTGATTCTGGCTTATGGGGGTGTTGGGGTGATCCAGATTCTATAAACCAGAGCTCCGGGGTAAGGAAGCAGTGACTAGTGGATGTGCCATGCCTGTCTGTGCCAGGTGCTTTCAGTTTCCTCTGTACAGTTAGAGCATTCCCCCTTTCTTTCTTCTGATTTAACATATCGATTCTAATCAGCATAGTATAGCTTCTACATGTTCCACCCCATTGTGGCTGTGATTTATCCAGATACTTTTTGCGCTAAATGTTTACAAATATTATCTCATCTAATTTTCCAGCAACTTTAATGCTATTGATTCTCTTATGTTTTCTTAAAAAAATTAGGCTTTGGTCAAATGCACGTAACAAATTTTACCATCTTACCTGTTAGAAATGTTGGGTTCAGTGGTGTTAAGTGTGTTCACATTGTTGTGCAACCATCATTACCATCCATCTCTAGAACTGTTTCAGAAAACAAACTCTGACCCATTTAACAGTAACTCCTTCTTCCCTCCCCCACCTCCTGGAAACCATCATTCTACTTCCTATTTCTGTGAATTTGACCATCCTAAATCACATAGTCACTCAGCACTTCTCTTTTCATACCTTAATGATGCATGTAACATCATGTCATCAAGATGCTCCCATGTTTTGATGTGTCTCAGAATTCCCTTTCCTTTATGAGGTTTGATGATTGACTACATTTTGTTTAGCCATTCATTGATGGCCATGTGGCATGCTTCCATCTTTTGACTATGTCAGATAATATTGCTAAGAATGTGGATATACAAATATCTGTTGAAATATCTACTTTGTATTCTTGTGTATTTACCCAAAATTGGGATTTTTGTATCAAACTCTTTAATTTCCGAAGAACCACTATACTGTTTTCTGAAGTGACTATACCATATTATATTCTAGCACAGTGTACAGGATTCTGATTTCTTCATAACATTGGCATTATTCTATTATTTTTTAAAGGGGGTTTATTTGAAAGAGTAATGGAGGGAGATGGGATATACAACAGGTACAGATTTTGCACCCATTGGTTCACTCTTCAAATGACCACAGCAGCCTGGTCTGGACCAGGCTAAACCAGGGAGCCAGGAACACCATCATGGTTTACCACATGGGTGGCAGGAGCCAACCCACGTGGGTCATCTTCTACTTCCTTCCCAGACACAGAATCAGAAAGCTGGACAGGAAGCAGAGCAGTCAGGACTTCATTTGGCGCTCTGATCTGGGTTGCCTGGATTCATTACAACTCACTGCATCACAATGCTGGCCCCTCTGGTCATGTTCTGTTCTTTTTGATGGCAGCCACCCTAAGGCGTGAGATGATGATCTCTCTCTTTATATTTGGGAAAACTGAGTCTCACGGAAGTGAGTGCATGATACATAGCATTTGAACTCAAGTCTGATTCAACATTGATTGATATTACTCTGCTTTATTCTGGCTCTTATTTTTTATACTTTAATTTAAAATACTCCATGTAGATGGCTTGATACTATGCTTATTACTACAAAGAAGTAAAGGGCAGTTAGTACTACCTAATCTGTACCCAGTTTGAAGCAATGTGACACTGTGTGTGTGTGTACACATGTGTACATGTACATTAAACTTGCCCAGGCTGTGTAGATGGTGATAGACATCATTTAGGAGTGGGGCTCCTCCTCAGTCAAGATGCATCTCCACTTCACTTGCTGGGCCACCTGAATACTGGTAACATGGAGCTGCCCTGAACTGCTGAACTGTGACCTTCAGAACAGCACTGATCTCTTAGTATGTCAAGTGAGAGCACTTTACAGTGGGAAAGTTTCACTTCAGAAAGCATGGGCAGCCAGGCCCTTACGTAACCCATTGTTGTCATAGAGAAATCATCAGATACTGTTGTCCGGGAAGACAAGTGGTCATACATGGACTTGCTTTTGTTCTGGAGTTAGTGAATGTTCTGGCATGTTAGCTCTCTGGAATGTGTGGATGCCCTGTCAGCCCATTTATTGTTCTTGGCCGCTGATACATACTCCAAAGTGTTAATGCATTGAGACATGAAGCTTTTAATAGGAAATTGCATTAAACAGATCACTTCATGTGTTCTTTTGACTGGGGAAATATCTTACGGGAGAGTAAGGATGAGCCTTTTGTGAATCATTGTGTGCAGCTCTGATATAATAACATGTGACAGTCAAGACGAGGATGACCTTGGATAAACATCCCCCAGCAAATCCCTGGGGTTGTTTGGAGATGATGTTGAAGTGAAAACTCTGTGATTAAGACTGTGGTGAACAGGAGTCTGTGGGGATGATTTTAGTTAATCCCTCATTGAATGATTTTCAAGTTTGTAGAAAGCATTTAATAAGTTTCCAATGAGAAGATCTTGGGCCTTTTGAAAAGGGGAAACATTGGAGAAACTTAGGAATTGTTGAAAATATATGCAGAGTAAGCCTTCTGGAAACAATAAAAAAAGGAAGAAGTAATTATGAAAATACTCCTGGATTTTTCTATTGAATTAGAGAGTGGTGATATGGAAGGAAATCTCATGCTAGATAAGAGGTTGCCCAGATGTTGATAACAAAACTAATCATCCTTAAGCAAATGTTGTGGCTTGTTAAATATCGCCAGTTCACTATTTTCACTAAAGAAAGGGTTAAGTTCCTCATCCCAGTATCTACAGAAAAGAAGTTAAATTACATGTGAGGAGGAATTTCCAAACTGCAAGTACTATGTGATGTATTAGCAGGGAAGTTTCTAGGATCTTGTCCCTAAAGAAATGCTTGTGTTTGCATTTCTCATCTCATCTCATCTCAGCTCTAGGTCCTCATTCCAGCTTTCTGCCAGTGCAGACCTTTGCATTGGTGATAGCCTAAGTAACTGAGTTCTATCACTCACATTGGACATCTGGATTGAGTCTCTAGATTCTGGCTATGTTGGCATTTGGGGAGTGAACCGGTAGATGAGTGCTCTGTCTGTCATTCTCTGTGTCAGTCTTCCTATTGAATAAATTTTAAAAAATTGATAAAGGGGTATCCTCTAGGCTGGCTTCTGTGTATAGGCCTGCATGGAGGTGGTGATGATGCTCAGGGGCCAGCCATTGGCTCATTCCTTGGCCCTGAGTTCTTACTTGCCAATGGTTGTCCAAGTCAGCTCTCAGAATCTTTTTACCTTAGAAGATTTCTTGGAGCCCATGGGATGCCTTTCTTTAAATGCTGCCAGGACAGAGGAGAACTTAGATTCCATTTCCTGGTGATTGTGCTCTGTCTTCATGATTGAAAACTGCTACTCCAAGTTGTAGAGTGCTGGCAGTTTGTCTAAACTTCCATTTCCTGCAGTCTGAGTGACACATGCAGCCGTCGGGTGGGGAGTGTCTGCTGAGAGCCCCAGTGCAGACAGCGGGCACAGGAATGATCTTTCTTCTCCTGTGTTGGTGCCATCCTCAGCTGGCAGATGGGGCTATGAAGTCCACACATGGCGAACATGCCCCCTCCCTACTCCAAACACACACCGTTCCCACTGCTGGCTCTAGCTTGTGCCCGAAGCGGCTTTGGGAAAGCTTGGCTCTAGAACATTCCAGCTGTACCAGATGCAGTCCTCTTGGTTGAGATCTAAAGTATCTTAAATATATACATATACACACAATCATTCTCTCTCCCCTCTCTCTCCCCCCTCCCTCCTCTCCCCCTCTCTTCCTCCTTCCCTCTCTCCAGTGTATTTTCAAAATGTTGAATATGATTTGGTTTGGGTTTTTGACCTGGTACATAGAAGAAACTATGTGGTTAATGTGACAAGAATGCTTGTCTTATACAGTGATGTCCAAGAGGCCAGCAGGGCATTTACCTCACCTTTGAAGGGAGTGGTTCAGCTGACCGTCCAGGTGGACACATGAGACTTTGTTTCTCCTAAATGCCGAAGACCCACCTTAGGGTAACAGGCAGGGGATGAAGGCAAGGGGGAGAACTTGTATGGTCATGGCCCTTTTGAAATTCGTCTTACTCAACCTCAGAGTTTTAGAAATGCTAGAAGGAACTGTATATACTGGGAGTAGATGGTTTATATGGAGAAGACCTGTATTTTGTTCGTTTCAAGCTGTCAGTGGACAGGTACCCATGTTAATGATGAGGCTAGCTCTGGTCTTGTCTGCTTTACCCAGGCTTTGACCAGTGGTATCCACTGAATGACCCCCCCCCCAAAGCTTAATAATCATTAGAGGGCGGTATTCTCAGAATCAGAAAGCGCCATCACCATAGCTGGGGTGTAGGAGGGATCCCTAGTCACTATAATAGGCATGTGTCTCGAGCATGCTAGGTGATCCACTTTCTGGAATCTTCAGAAGGACTGTCGAGATGAGGACCATTTGCCAATGGGGAAACTAAGGCTGGGTAGTTAGATAGCATGTCCAAGATTCAAGTTAGTAACTGAAGGAGGCAAGATTTAGACTCCACTGTGTCCACCAATGGGGCTCCTGGTTCTTGCATTGCAGTTCCCCGTGGTGACGGCTGCAGGGTTATGATGTGAAGGACATCCTACTGGTTAGTTCATTTACAGAATAACACACAAGCAGTTTCCTACAAGTCCATCAAACTTAAGAGAACACTCAGAACTTCACAGTTAGACTTTAAACAGGACAACTTTTCCTTGTGACTTCAAGAAAGGTAACCTTTATGAACAATCACAAATTTGAATTATTGCTCAGAATCCAGACACTTGTCTCTGGTGACCTTCTCACATGTTTGCTAGGCTGATGTGATTGCCTCATTTGCCTGGGCCCTAGCCTCACTAGCAACTCCAAGAGGGGCTGGGGAGAAGACACCTTCACTCAGAAGAAAGACCTGGATCTCACTCTCCAAGGTGGTGCACAGGAAGCCAGCCTGTTTTACACTTCCTTTATAATCAGGAAACATTTGCTCAAACATTGACCTGTTCTCAGACAAAAATACTTTGTTATATCCAAATCTTTGATGTTTGAAGAGGAGTTTTTAAAATGTTTTTTTGCAGACATTGATGAATGTACAGAGCAGCCGTCAGTGTGTGGGAGCCACGCCATCTGTAACAACCACCCAGGCACCTTCCGCTGTGAGTGTGTGGAGGGCTACCAGTTTTCCGACCAGGGAACGTGTGTAGGTAAGTTTCCCAGGTGACTGGTCAAAACTTTTGTTCCTATGCTGTGTGATGGCCCCAATGCAAACACAGGATGTTGTTGCAGATGATGGCCTTGGCCAGGATGCAAGGATCCCCATGTGGCAACAGGAAGGGGAATTTATAAAGACGAATCAGACTGAGCCCAATCCTCCAGTTAGCTAGGGAAGTCACAACTACAAGGGGTAGACAGTGATGCTGTTCATCCTAGGAGCCACCATCAGGTTGCCTGTCACAAGCTTCTGCCTCATCCTTGTTTCTTTGAAAAAATATTTATTTATTTGAAAGCCAGAATTGCTGCAAGTGGAGCTGGGAGAGACAGAGAAAGGGAGAGAGAAGAGAGAGACGTTTCATTCACTGGTTCACTCCCCCAGATTGTTGAAACATCCAGAGCTGGGCCATACCAAAGCCTGGGACTCAATCTGGGTTTCTCACATGGGTGGCAAGGGCCTAGGCACTTATGCCCTCGTTACCCATGACCTTTCCAGATGCATTAGAGAGGAATTGGATCAGAAGAGCAGCAGCCATGACTTGAACTGGAACTCTGATATGGGATGCTGGGCCTTGCAATGCAGCGGCTAAACTCACTGTAGCACAGCAATGGCCCCTATCTTTGGAACTTCTTGTGACTGGTTCAATATGATTCCAGTAGCTGTTGTCGTTATATTCACATGGAAGGACCACCTTCTAGACATTGTTTTGTTACTACCTTAGGCTGAATTCTACTTGAGTTATATGCAAAATTCCCCTTTGAGACCATTATATTTATGGATTTTAATTTTTAAAATTATGATGCCCAGCCTAATTCCTTAGCCTTCTTGAAGTAACTCGGTGCTATTCCTTAATCTGCTGGTGCTTATGGCTAAGGATAATTTAAGTGATGGTGATGATGATAGGCCAACCACCGGGTGCCAGGTTGTTTCCATTTGTCCACCTTTTTTTTCCTGCTGTGTTTTGACATGTTAATTTCAAGAATGTTAAACTCAAAGAGTCTCAGATATTTTCAGGTCTGTAGGGCCAAACACTGAGGGGCCCTGTGTGCTCAACAACATCATTCCCAATTGAAAACAAATTCCTCTTGCGCTGGGTCAGCAACCATCTCTGGCCCCTGCTTTGCTGTTTGCTGAACTCTATAAACTTGCTCTTTGCCCTGTCTTAAAACTCAGGAGACAGGGTGGCTGTGGTCCCAGGATGCGGTGGCGTCTTGAGGGCGGGAGAGAACACGCCGTGCTCATGTATTGAGTGTGACCCAAACATCTGTGCTCTTGGCCAGGCCAATTCCCTTTGCACAGAGAGCTGAGATTACAGCTCAATTAAAGGCACTTTTTTTTCTTCTTTCTTATTTTCTCTGTATTTTCCCTGACTTCCATCCCTGTTTTTCAGACTTTAGTGTTAACAGCATTTCCGTTATGCTTTGTCCCTGGGGTGGTGACATGCTCAGTCAGTAAGCCATCCTGGGTCAGGTGCTTGTGAGACAGGATGGCCTGCCTCTCTGAGTCCAACCACTGTTGATGTCTCTGGTCACTGGAGGGATGGGCAGGGTGCAGGACAGGTGCTGTGTTAATGTCCCTTGAGTAAGACAGCTTATGCCCTCTGCCCCCTGACCTCAGCCCCTGGTCTGTAAAATGATATGATTAGTTTACTTCCTATGAAGTCCTGGGGCAGACACAGGGAAGCTGTGAGCAGGCTTTTTGTTCCTTCCTGATGCCCACCAGCTTGCCCTTTCTCTAGACATCAAATTCTCAGTAAAATTTAACTTGCATAGTTGGTTGCATTGCTCATCTATAAGCATAAATGCCCCCGGATGATCACTATATCTTGCTAAGGCCTGGCCTCATGAGGTTTTGTAATTCCCACCTGACTGCAACAGGCCTATTCTGCTATGCTGTTCACTCCTTTACATGTGAGACTGTGTAGGCAGATCGCTCACTGTGAGAGTCCAATTCTGTCTGGATGTATTTGAATACTGGTTCTGGCTTGCCTTTGAGACAGTTGTTTAATCTCTCTTGGAATTGCTTGTTATGGTGGTCTCCTAGGCTAGAAACTCAGGGCTGGGGAAGTTTCTCCACCAGTCAGAATAGAGAAGGGTAAAGGAAGAATTCTGGCATTTGGGGAGCCTTTCTTTGTACCCAACCAGCTGTGTGACGTTGGGGGCTCAGGCAAGCATGTGGTCTGCCAGAGGGAACTCTATGAGCTAGTGTCTCCATCATGGAAGAACTATTTGGTGCACTGCTCTGGCTGGCACTTTCCATAAACCTGGGATCTCCCATTTTCTGAAATCTGCAAAGTATGTTTGTAATGGAGGAAAAGATAGGCTTTAGCTTGGCCATAAGTCACTTTACCCTGAAAGCACACTGCCAATCTGCATGAACATGGCCCTGTGATACTAGCCGGATATGTGTGGCTACCATGATCTAACTTGGAATTTCACTTGCTGCGCACATGAGTATCTGTGGAGTGTGCCACGGTGCCGTATGCTTTCTGTCATGGCAGGAAGAGGGTTGGGTTTAAGCAAAAAGCTCTGTCGAGTCTGGCCTCACACAGTGCTCCCACTCTTGCTGCCTCATTGGTCATACCATCAGAAAACGCTGTGGTGGTCTTATTTTTAGACTTAATAGTAACAAAGCTGTGTGAAATCACTGTGGACTTCTCGCCTGTTCTTTTCCTCATTTGTAAATACCTTTGCTTCCTTGATTTGTCTTTCTTCCTCTTTTTTTTTTAAACATATATTTTTATTATTTATTTATTGGAAAGGCGGACATACAGAGAGGAGAGACAGAGAGGAAGAACTTCCATCCGATGATTCACTCCCCAAGTGAGCGCAACGGCCAATACTATGCCGATCTGAAGCCAGGAGCCTCTTCCGGGTCTCCCACGCAGGTGCAGGGTCCCAAAGCTTTGGGCTGTCCTCGACTGCTTTCCCGGGCCACAGGCAGGGAGCTGGAAGGGAAGCGGGGCTGCCGGGATTAGAACTGGCGCCCATATGGGATCCCGAGCGTGCAAGGCGAGGACCTTAACCACTTGCGCCACCACGCCGGGCCCGTCTTTCTTCCTCTTGACATGTCCTTCCTTCTCTTATGCGTCCCATCTCCAAGCCCTCACCTGCCTGCAGGTGTCTCTCAGGAACCTGTCAACATCTCCAGGCTGGCCACCCCTCATCTGAACATTCTGGATCAGGGCAGGGTCCTTTTCCAGTGTTCAGAAATGGAGAAGGTTCAATTGGCTAATCCTACACCTCCAGATGCCAGGATTCCATCTGGGTACCAGCTCATGTTACTGCTGCTCCATTCCCCATCCTGTTTCCTGCTTATGGCATGAGAAAGCAATTGAGGATAGCCTTAGGACCCTGCATCCGTGTGGGAAATCCAGAAGAAGCTTCTGGCTCCTGGCTATGGATCAGCTTAGCTCCAGCCATTGTGACTATTTAGGGAGTGAACCAACAGATGGGAGATCTTTCTGTCTTTCTTCTTTCTGTAAATCTTTCCAATTAAAAAAAAAAAAACTTTTTTAAGAAGAAAGAAATGGAAGAACCAGGAAAGTAAAACTCCAAAAACTGACCATCTTTCTGATTTCCACTGTAAGTTTTCTCTGTTTTCTCAGACTTTCCTCTCCGTCTTTCTTGCAGGATCCCATTACAGGGAAATTGCAAGTTACGAGCCTCAAGGAATACGGAGCTGCACATTCTGACATCTCCTCTTGTGTGGTAGATCCCCTTGAGGTTGATGGAGCAGCAGCTTCTTTTTTGTGCTGATAAGTCACTGGCTGTCCTGGTTTCCCATGGCTCCTTTTCAGATGATTGTCATGAGTAGCATGACTGTCTCCGTGAAGACTGGAGAGCAACTAACCAGGGCTATGAAAAGTGCCATGGCCAAAGAGAGCCCTTCGGAAATGCTTTCCTATCCCAAGCTGAGAACACATCAGCTTATTTATTTTTCTTTAAAATTTGTTTATTTGAAAGGTGAGGTTATGAAAGAGAGGCCTGGCACAATGGCTCAATTGGTTATTCTTCTCTCTCCCCCTACTCACCCACAAGTGCCTAGATTCCATATGGGTACCAGTTTGTATCCCAGCTGCTCCACTTCCCATCCAGCTCCCTGATTATAGCCTGGGAAGGTAGTGGAGGATGGCCTTTAGCCTTGGGAGCCTGCACCTATGTGAGAGACCCAGAAGAATCTCTTGGCTCCTGACTTTGGATTGGCTCTAGACATTGCAACAATGTGGAGAATGAACCAGTGGGTAGAAGACCTTGTTCTCTCTCACTCCTTCTCTGTGTAAAGCTCTTTCTAATAAAAATAAATAAATCTTTAAAAAGGAAGGAATTGATCCTCTATTCATTAGTTCACTCCACCAGCTGGCTGCAGTGGCTGGAGTTGGACCAGGCTGAAGCTAGAAGCCAGAAATTCCTTCCTGGTTTTCCATATGTGTGGCAGGGATTCAAGCATTTGGGACATCTGCTGCTTGCTAGGCATGTTGTTAGCAGGGAGCTGGGTCAGAAGCAGAGCAGAGGGCATAAAAACTGGGTTCCATATGGGATGCCAGCATCACAGACAGTGGCTTAACCTAGTATGCATCAGTGCCAGCCATTGCTTTATTTATTTTTAAAATAAAAAAAATATAGCTGTTTTTATTAGAATCGCAAAGCTGACACTAACACTTCTGTGAGAATACAATTGCACTGTTGCAAAAAACTATCTTACATAAATGATAATCTAACCTTAAAAAATTCAGTTACAAACTGCTTGTTTCTATAAATGATGTGAGGATTCAAGAAAAAAACAACAGATGTGATCATGAAGACCAAGTGGGTAAAGATCAAACCTGCATGTGCCTGCAATAAGACTGTCCCTGCCAGCAGAGCGGAAGCATGGAGAGACACCTAGGCTGTGCAGTGGACGATGGGGGACCTGCTGGAAGCCGTGCACATGCTTGATGGAAGACCCACTGCTGGTTATAGTGTTTGTGGTAGGAATTTATTCTTCCTACCTCTTATTGGTAGAGGCATTGGGTCCCAAATCTCTAGTAGTTTTAGCTGTCACCTCTTGCTAGCTAAGGGGTTGGGAAGAAGGAAACCCCAGAGAAAAGCTTGCCAGAAGTGGTGGGTTTGAGAGGGCGTTTGGTACAGTTGGTAAGCCAGCCCTCAGAAACTCTACATGTGCTATTTGAGTATTTGAGATTGAGTCCCCGTTCCACTCCCTATGCCTGCTGTCTGCTGAGATGCCTGCTGGAAGGCAGCAGGTGACAACCAAGTACTTAGTCTCTAGTGGAGTTCCAGGCTCCTAGTTTTGGCCTAACCCAGCTATGCCTATTGTGGGTATCTGGAGAGTAAACCAGTGGATGGGGGGCTTTGTCTCTCTGTCTTTCAAATAAAAAAGTATATTTTTAAATTAAAAAATAAGAAACAGGTGGAAGTGAGGGGTGGCAAGAGGAGAAGGGGCCAAGGAAATTGGAGTGTGTTCTTGGACTGGGTTCCTGTGTTGTGGGTTACTATTGTCTGTCCAGAAGTTTGGGCCACTGGTTGCAGTTACCTGGCCAACTTTCATTTTGTAAGATTCTGTTTAGTGGGGCCAGTCCCACAGAAGTCAGCTTAAGTTTTTGACCTCAGGAATCAAAGACACCAGGTACCAAGTGCATAGTGGAGACCTCCAGTTGTTTGGTAACCTTGTACTTGGCCCAGGCATTTGAAGAGCCTCCTCCTTGCTGTCGTCTTAGATCTCTCTCTCTCTCTCCACACCTCCTATTTCCCTCTCTCTTGCCCTCTCCTTCCTTCATTACTTAAGGTAGGATAAGTTGGAATGAATTTGGGGAAGACTACTCATCAGGAAGCAAGATAAATCCTCTTATATCTGAAAGAACCCTATACTGAGGAACAAGGAGTTTATTCTGACATTGCGAGGGGTGGGCCCCTGTTGTGGGTTTCAGTGCTTTTTTAGAAAATCACAAGAAAAAATAATGGCCTGAAGAGCACCAAAGTAATAATCCAGTCTTTGGAAATCACCCTCTGGACCTCAGCCATTAATGCCCAACTGGAGACAGCAGCCCAGGGCCTCTGTGTCACTTGCCTACCTTCTTAATCCTTATTCTATAAGTGCTATCATTAGAGCATGTTAGAAAGTTATAGTTACCGGCAGGCATCCCTGTACTTTGCATGCTAAAAGTCATTCCTGCCCTGCAGAAGAAGTGCATGCGACTCTGAGTAGTTGCGTGATTTACCCAAGACCATGAGATTAGTCTGTGTGTGCCTTGCATAAACTCAAGGCCATGGACCGAGAGCCTGGGGTCCAGGCAACTTCCTCTTTATGATGTCCCGTTGGACTAACACATTTGTTTGGAGGGAGGTTGGAAGAGCAGTGGACCTGCTCAGGGACCTTGTTCTAATGGTGTGTGTCAACTTTGATTCTGAAGCTGTTGTAGACCAGCGTTCCATCAACTACTGTGTAACCGGCCTTCATGACTGTGACATACCCCAGCGTGCCCAGTGTGTCTACACAGGAGGTTCTTCCTACACCTGTTCCTGCTTGCCAGGCTTCTCTGGGGATGGCCGAGCCTGCCATGGTACGTGATTGGTGTGATTCTTCCTTGAGGAGCCTGTTCCCTGGGTGACATTTACTCTGTATGAGTTACTAACTCGCCTTCTATCCCCACCAGTGGAATGTGAGAGAGAATTACTCAGTAGCTCTGTTGGGCAGATGGGCTGCTTGCCTGATGTCTTTTCTGGGGCTTGTTTTCATTGGTGAAGATGTTTGGGCTCCCCCAAAACTGTTGTGTTCTATGTGACTTGCTCATTCAAGCAACAATTAGACACCTGCTCTCTACTAGGAACAGAGGATGTTATTTGAATTTCACAAGAAGACAAACAATTCTGGCATGCATGGAGCTTAAAGTCCAATCTTTGATTTAATAAGCTCTCTCTGTTTATTCACTTGGCCTGCTCTGTCTGTAAAAGCAAAGTTCACTTATTTAATAAATGAAGGACTGCACCTTACTGGTTGTCAGGGTGCTCCTACAGGTAACTTTAGAGAAGACAACCAATGAACAGGGTACCTGGATCTCATGGTTTGCAGAATTACTGGATAATATGTCATATTTTTTTTTTGAAAAAGCCAAACTTCCTTAGAAGATAATTTCTAATATACCTTCCCATCATTATTGAAACTCTTATCAGTGATGGGGGCCATTTTGCAATGCAAAGAAATCCTCTCTTCCTTTTTGCAAGTTGGTTCTTAATGAACAAATGTTGTTATCAATGGGCAGCATGCTTATAAAAGCACAAGATAGAATTTGGGGAGTTAGTGTTTTGAGCATTCATGTTCAATGAGCTATAAACCACTTCTGAAAGAATCTCATTGTCCCTGGGCTGTCTTGCAGATGTGGATGAATGCCAGCCAAGCCGGTGCCACCCCGATGCCTTCTGCTACAACACTCCAGGCTCCTTCACATGCCAGTGCAAACCTGGTTACCAGGGTGATGGCTTTCGTTGTGTGCCCGGAGGTAAGGTGATGGGACATTTGGTGTTGGTAGCTCATGGTTACCTCCATGAGTGCTGTGTTCACGGCTCTGGGGGAACTGGAGAGGTGCAAAGTGGATAGTTCTGCAGAACATTCTAAGATGGGGAGGTGACAGATCATAGGGGAATGAGGATTGATGTCACCCATGTGGACCATGCCCATGGCAGCCCTGGGCGATAATCGTCCTTGTGTCCTGAGCCAGCAGTTCAGCCAATGTGACCTGAGTTGTTTGTCAGGTTCTCCAAAGAAACAACCACAGGAATCCATTAAGCCATAAATGGTTGCATCTACATACAAGTATATCCGTAGGTATGTATATGTATGTATATATGCAAAGGTAAAGGAAGTGGAAAGCCCCAAGTATCTGCATACATCAAGAAGCAGATCCAGGGAAGCTGAAGGTTTCACCTAGTTCAAGTGGGAGGACCTCAGAACCAGGAGAGCTACTGCTGACTGACAGACTTGAGGACCAGGAAATGTGAATGGTTCCATTCTAGCCTGCAAGTGCAGAAAAAATGATGTCCTAGCTCAGAGGCCATCAGAAGGAATCCTCTCTTTTACCCAGGGGGAGGTCAGTCTTTTTGTTCTATTCAGGCCTTCAGCTCATTGGACGAGCTGAAGGAGCTAAATCTGCTGGCCTGAGTCTGTCCAGTGAAATGTTCATCTCATCCAAATCAGCCTCACAGAAACACATAGAATGATGTTAGACCAAATAGCTGGGCACCTTGTGGCCCATTCAAATTGACACAGTTAGCCAGCACAGGTGCCTGTGTGTCCTGGAGGACAGGGTTGTAGTTGTGGCATGGGGTGCAGGTGTAGGCTGAGGCCTCCATGACATGGTCTGTGTTCTCAAGATGGCAGTGTCCTGAGACTCAAAGACATTTTGTCAGAGCCTAAGGATCGTGCTGCCTGCAGTGCACTCCCCTGCCTACATCAGGGAACTTGGGAGACACTCGACACATGCTGTTGAACAGCTGCACACACCGCTGGCTGCTCCTCTGTGAAGATCTTGCTGTGTGCCTGGTCCTTCACGGGTGCTGGTTCATGTCATGCTCAGAGCTGTCTTTTTAAAGTAAGGACAAGGACTCTCCAGGCTCACAGAAGATGCCAAAATGGGAAAGGAAAAAGGTATAGCCAAGATCACCCGGGCAGGAGATGCCAGAGCTGGGACTGAAACCCAGTGTGTTGGGTGCACTCTGAGTCCTGCTTCAGCTTTCTTCACCTCACCACGTTCTGACCTGAGATGGATGGAGAAAATGTGTGACATATTAAACTGGAGTTTGCCAGTTGTGTTTATTTTTAGTTACCACAGCTAGTGCTGGTCAGATATAGTCATGCCACTAAACATGTGTTCAATAAAAAAACAGTGGAATTTTCTTCCTCTCACATTCTGAAGTGGTTAATTATAAGTTAGATGTCCGTGTGCATCACTGGTCCGGGGCCACATGGAGGCCAGGAGACAGCTGAATTTTTATCTCTATATTCTCGGTGCCCAGTGGAGGACACGGCGATGGTGGAGCTCACAGCTGTTAGAAGTTGGTGAAGAAATAATTGAACACGCCCATTTCCATTCTTCCCGATAGTTTATGAAAGTATTTATTTACCTGTGCTCTCACTAGGACTGTTTTTTAGAAGCGGTGCTGATGTAAAAGGAGGAAATATTAGATTATAGTCTTAACTTTGACACATCATCCTACATGTTGCTAATCTATGCTGCTTTCTTCTGCTTAGAACAAAGGTCATCATGCTGTACATCTGGCCTGTGGTCTGTTTTTGTAAATGAAGTTTTATTGGAACACAGCCACACATATGGCTACTGTCATGTTACAAAGGCAGAGTTTGGTGCTTATGTCAAAGACTATAAAACCCACAAAGCTTAAAAAGTCTGAAAAGCCACCTGGCTGGCCCCTGACAGAAACATGCCAACCCCCTGGCTTAGATGAGCCTAGACAGGGATCACGACACTGCAGCACTGCTCGTGGCTTTGGATAGCCAGATTTCACAAAGTCAAGTTCATAATCATGTGAGTGAAGACATTCCAGAAGCTATTAAAAATGACTGACATTCATTGTTTCCTTAGGCTTGCTTCACAACTCTAATTCAAAGAAAATCAGATGTTTTGTTTTATCAGTTTTGCTTGTTTGTTTTTTAAAATCTGACTCCATGTCCCCTTGTTAAAGCTCTGTTGACAAAATAGAAACAAATCCAGTCCTGTGGACTTGCATACAAAGAGAGGACAAGAACAAGCCCAATGAGAGCTGTTTTCTAGGGTTGTCTATCTTGCTAATCTCATTTCCTTCAGAAGTTCATCATCCACTTATTAACTCGAGAGAGCAGCATGCATAGCATGCACTAGAGGTGCCCAGTCCTGTTGTGACCACAAAAACCTCAGTGGCTATCAGCCATGCGCAGAGGCCTTGGAGCAAAAGCCTATTCCATAACATTCAGCAGGTAGTCTGACCAGCCTGACCAGACTGACCAGGCAATGAGAAAAACCACCAACGTGTATGTACAGGATGATAAAATCCATAGAAAATCTAAACCTGTAGATAGACACATGTCAGAAAACTACACAGTGCATGAGAATGAGAAACAAAATGTCCGTGTGACTGCTACCTCTGATGGAGGGAACTGATTGTGAGTAGGGAGGGCTTGTCTTGGTGTTCAGGCTGCTCTAATAAACACTCCTGCCTGGGTAACCTGTAAACAACAGGAATTTGTTTCTTACAGTAGCAGAGGCTGAGAACTCCAAGATCAGGGTGCTGGCAAGTTTAGGGTGTGGCAGGGGTCTGCTTCTAAGTACCTAGATAGCCAGAGGGCCACACATGGCAGCATCGGGAGAGTCTTTCTCGGACCGCTTGTATAGGGACACAGCTCCACCTGCAAGATCTCTCACCTTCCAGAGACCCATCTCCTGTGAGTGAGGACACAGGCATTCAGACCAAAGTGCAGGAGCTAAGGAGCTACATTTGTATCTCTAACGTGGAGCTAGACTGAAATACAGAGATTTTCATTGTATTCTAAGTTTTGTATGCCTGAAATATTGTGTGAAGCATTCCTGAGGGACAAATAATTTATAGAATCATCTGGGCTCCTGATGCTCAATGTAACAAAGGCTAAACAGCACTTATTTATACTTATTCTGTAGAGGAGGGCCTAGTTAAAAAAAAAAACGAAACCAAAAACAAAAAGCTGAATTGATCATTTTACAGATCAGCTAAGATCCTGGCTGCTGCAGTGTTGATTGATGACAAAACAAATCACCACAGCTTGTTCCCCTCTAAACTTCTATACTGTTTCCCACAGCCCAGGTAGGGGTTGTGAAAGCAGTTTAGTGGGTTACTCTAAACTCTTATCACTTTCTTTTGAATCAAATAAGTGCAAATAATGACTAGAAAATACTAGTACATAGAGCACAGGCAGCAGAATTAGGTATTGTTTCATGAAACAGTACTTGTAGATAAACTTGCAAATGTGTATAGGGTGTGCATAATTGTGGATGCATGTATGTGTCTGTGTACATTGAAATGCTAAATGTATTTCTTAAGTTATAGCTAGAAAGGTTGGAAGCCATCATATTGGCTAGATGATGTTTTATAACAAGCTCAGGTTGAATATCCCTAATCCAAAAATCTGAAAAGCTCCAAAGTCCAAAATTTTTAGAGTACCAATTTGTCAGAAAAATTTTAGATTTTGCAGCATTTCACCTTTTTCAAATTAACGATGCCCAGCTGGTAACGTTTATGCAAATACCCCCAAATCCAAAATCTGAAACAGTTCTATCTCCAGACATTTCAGATAAGGAACACTCAGCCCGTATCCCTAAAACTAACCCACTTAACAGTATCACCATTTATTTTCTCCCTGTGTTTGTGGTCAGGAATTTAGGAGCAGCTCACCAGGCCTGTCCTGGTTCAGAACCTCGCCTGAGGTTGTTGTCAATATGATAGGCAGGGCCAGAGCATCTCTGAAGGCAGAGCAGGATTCCCACCGCAGGACCCATGGGGTTGTGGACCAGCCCCCAGGTCTTTTCGAGGCCTGATAGCTGGCTGTTTCCAGAGCAAATGATGACAGACAGAGGGGGTGGAGGGATGCAGGAGGGTCTAGCATGTGTTGGAAGCCAGGGTCTTTTGTAGCCTACTGTTGAGGAGTCGCTTTAGCTGATCCTGTTAATCTCGGGCCTGCACTCTTACAGCGGTGGGGGTGATGGGGTAACTACCCAAAAGTGTGAGTTCCAGGAGGTGGGGAGAAGGGAGCCCATCTTAAAGAGTGAGGGAGATACTGACCTTGACTAGACAATATCTGGGAGCTACCAGTGACTCGAATTTTGTACTGTAGAGGAGTTTGTTAGTAGGACATTAAATATCTTGAGCTGGAGATTAAAGCCTGCTCCTGCAAGGCAGACACTGAGCCTATAGTAGTTCCATGTCTGTGTCTACCAGCACATTTCCTCTAGATCCGTACCACACGTCTTTAGTGAGAAGGGAGATGGAAGAGTTCAGATGTTAGGGCCCACACATTAGTGGGTAGCTGGATTGAGAGTGGGGCAGCCAGGATTCACAAGATGCTGGCATCTCCAGCGGTGCCTTAACCAGCTGTACCACACTGCTTGCCCTTTGATTGCTTTTCTAAGAGCAAAACAGATGTACATATTAAATACAATTAACAGTTTGGGACAACCATGAAGACAACATTTTAGGATGCCTGCGTCCCCTCGTGGAGGGCCTAAGTTTAAATTGTGGCTCCACCTGATTCCAGCTTCCTGTATGTGTACACTCTGGGAGGCTGTAGTGATGGCTCAATTAGTTGGATCCCTAAAACCCCTGTGGGGGACCCAGGTTTTGTTCTGGGCTCCTGGCTTCAGCGTGACCCAGCCCCAGATGTTATAGGCATTCAGGGCATGAATCAGTGAATGGGAGATCCCTTTTTATCACTTTGCCTTTCAAATAAAAGTAAAATTGAGGTCTTTCCTCAACTCACTACCCCTTTCTTGCTGATATCCCATCCCTCTCGTTGCCTTTATAATTTATTTTCTCATCATAGTCATCTGGAATGGTTGCCTTCCCTTCTCCTTTTCTTTTTCATTCCCTTCCCACCTTTTAATCATAAAACATAGATACAGAAAGGCATATAGAACAAATGTGTAGTTCAAGGATTATGCCTAGCACCCAGGTCAAGAATTAGAACTTCAGGGCCCAGCTGAGAGGCTAGTGGCTAAAATTCTCACCTTGCATGCACTGGGATCCCATATGAGCACCCGCTTCCCATCCAGCTCCCTGCTTGTGGCCTGAGAAAGCAGTTGAGGATGGCCCAAAGCTTTGGGACCCTGCACCCTCGTAGGAGACCCAGAAAAAATTTGTGGCTCTTGACTTCTGATCAGCTCAGCTCCGGCCTTGTGGTCACTTGGGGAGTGAATCTGTCGATGGAAGATCTTTCTCTCTGTCTCTCCTCCTCTCTGTATATATGCCTTTCCAATAAAAAGAAAGAAAGAATTAGAGCTTCAGCAGCAGCCATTTCAATCCTGCTCTCCCTCTCCAAAAGTGACCACTAACCCAGCTTTTGTACTAATCCATTCCTGCATTTCCTTGTGTTTTTAACTACACTTGTGTAGGTTCATTGCTATTCATTTGTCTACCAAAAGCTTCTTCCTCCATCCCTTCTTTTCCTTTGGATTTGAGCTACTCAAGAACTAGCATCTGATGGTAGTGTTGTGGCATAGTGGGTAAAGTCACCACCTATGATGCCAGCATCCCATATGGGCACTGGTTTATGTCTCCGTTGCTCCACCTCTTATCCAGTTCCCTGCTCACATGCCTGAGAAAAGCAATGGAAGATGGCCACCCAAGTGTTTGGATCCATGTGGGAGACCCAGCTGAAGCTTCTTGCCTTGATCTGGGAATGTGGCCATCTGGAGAGTGGACCAGAGGATGGAAGATTCTTTCATTCATATTCTCTCTCTCTCTTTCTCTCTCTCAGATTCAGTGTGGGAAGGCATTGGATAAACAGCCCCACTTCATACAGATTCCATTCTTAAGTAGCCTCTAAGTCCTGGCATGGCTTCCCATCATTTCTTCCCAGAGCAACTCCACATTTCTTGAACAAATACCGCCCCTCCCAACTTCCCACCCCACTGAGTATACCAGAGACTGCAATAGCCACTACTAACTGAACACACAGAAACAGATCTAATCAGACAAGGGAAAGGAATGCAAACCTGGAGTTCAGCAATGTGCATTCTTCTTACTTTTCTTCCTCATTCTCTTTGGCCCTTACCTTGCAAGAAAAGTCACCCCAGGCTTCCTGCCTTTCATCAGATAAGGATCAGGTCTTAAGTGCTTCCTCCCACTTCAGACCAGGCTAGATGGTAAGCTTATCATTTTATCAGCCAGAAACAAGCCTAGAACCTGTGTCTGTGTGACTGCTCGCCTCTATATCCATCCAGCCCTTGATGGAAAATCCCCTGTGCTGGTCTGGAGCCCACAGCAAGAGGCTCCCACCAGAGCCCCTGGGCTGCTCCCAATTCCTCGCTGGCCAGGCTAAGAAACCATCCCAGGAAACTCTCTAAAATCACAGCTTTCCATAAACATGCCTGAAATTCCTTTTCCTGACTCAGACTTGAGGCTTCCTCCTCCTCCTCATAAGTTCTAGATACCACCCTTGAGAATTCCACTGAAAAACGCCTGATCACTTGAGATTCTGTGTACTGGCTGAACACCATGTGAACGCAAAGCTGTCAGCCACATGGCAATGGAATAATCTGTACTCCCTTAAAAGCTCTGCTTGGTTAACATCAAGTCCTGTTTTCTAGTTGGGAAAGCAGCTCTTTGTCCAGATGTCAATGAGAGAAAATTGCAGTTAGTAGGTTAAACGCACATGTGCGTGAGCTTTAAGGGGCACTGAAAATGTGGACCCAGAGAGGTCTGAGGTCAGTGTGCGTTGGGAGCTGGATCAGAAGTCCAGAGTTGGAGCTGTGGCTTCAGGGTAGTCCTGAGCATCTGTTTTCTCCACTGGCCTGGACCACACCTATCAATCACATAGAATGATAATGACAATTCAGTGAAGTCTCTGTGTGAATGGGGATAGCTTATATGGGAACTTTAAACCCCTGTACCAATGGAAGATCTTGAAAAAGTCCACAAACTTTGTGTCCCGAAGTGTACAAAAGCTGGCATTTTTTTTTCTGTAAACATGTTTAATGATCTTTTAGTACAAAAGTATCACTTCAATGAGTCAGATGTATGAGTTTAAGAACAAATTACTATAACAAAGTAACTGTTGGGGCCAGCACCATGGCTCAATGGTCTAATCTTCCACCCTGTGGTGCCTGCATTCCCAATGGTTTGTGTCCTGCTTCTCATCCAGCTCCCTGTTTGTGGCCTAGGAAAGCAGACTAGGATGGCCCCCTCTGCCCACCAAAGCCTTGGGACCTTACACCTGCATGGAAGACCCTTCTCTCCAATATATCCTCTCTAAACTTTCCTTATAAGTAAAAATAAACAAATCTTTAAAAAAGAAAAAGAACTGTTATAAACGATCATGTACCTCCACTTATCTTGAGACTAATTATTTTATATAAATTTTATCACACCTCGTATGCTAATAGTTTAATGTGGTCTGTGTCTCTCTCTTAAGTTCTTTTTATCTTGGAACTAGCTTTTCTCCATGCTGCCTAATGTATAATCACACACCAGGCACTGTGCAACCTACAATCGGTAGCCCAACTGCTTACTCGCAGCTTGGATTTTGGGATTGCAAGTCATGCCACCAAGATAGAGTAAACAAAAAATTTCCAGATTGGTCCCTCAGTCTTTGAATAAATTCAGAATTAAGGATCGGCATCAGCCAGCAATTCCTTGCATGCCTCCTAAAGTTTCAGAGTTAACCATTTCAGTGGAAGGGCTCATGCTTATTCAAAATACCACAGGATGTTTCGTGGCTTTCTGTATTAGGGTGCAAAGGAGAGGAGGTGACATTCCTGCAAGGTCTCCCTGTAGTAAGCCCATTCACCACACTACCAGGAAACATTGCAAGGAAGAAACCGGAGGGTGGGCAGCCAACAGGCCCCTCTTTCCCCGGGCATCACCACGTTTGCGCAGGAGCCTGTAAGCCCCTTTCCTAGAGTGTCCCTGCTGCCTCAGTGGGTCGGTTCTGGGGGTGAGGGTGGGTGGCTTCGATGGTGAGGCGGAGCCTTCAGCACCCATTCACTGCCTGGGAGGGAAGGAAGACTTTCAGACCCCTGCAATCCTCCCACAGGCTGAGGAACGGAATCCACACGCAGGCAACTGACCTGATGAGGTCTGGCCCACCTTCCGCCGGCAGCTCCAGCGAACGCTGGAGGGCGGAAGGCCTGAAAATGTGGGTACCCAAGTCCCACTTCAAGTCTGCGCCTCAGGTCGGAGAGCCGTCTTCCTCCAAAAGCTGGCATTTTTATCCTAACCAGGTGGTTCATTCATTTTTGGCTCTTCCTCATATCATATGTTTTTAGACTAGAAAAGCACACCCAGGTTTCCTTTGCCAAGTCAACAAACATTTTTCTCTGGCATGCTAGGTGCTGCTAATCAAGGAAGCCATCACAGTCTGCATGCCAACATGTGACCTGGCAACACACAGGGCACTTGACTCACTGACCGGCAGCTCACCTGTTGGGTGTTGCTGGGTCTGCCTGCTGTGGAGAAGGACACTGAGGAACTCTTGAGCAGATCCTAGCCCATGGGTGTGCATGGTCTGGTCATAGACCACCTTACTCCTCCGAATTAAATTCCATGAGACTTGTTGCTTTTGTCATCCCCATTGAGCAGATGGAGGCATAAGTGCCACCAGCATTGTTGATGGGTCCAAGAAGGCACCAGATTGAGAAGAACCAGAAAGCCTTTCAGGCACAGAATTCCAAGAAATATGTAACCTTGTGTAATTACAACATATTTTATAATGAACTAAAGTATGTTAATATTGACTAACACAAGTACATGATAAAACTGCAACTAATAAAGCCCTAAATCGGATTGTCAACTATAATCCCTGTAAGCCAAATCTGGCCCCCTTCTTTGCTTTGGCAAATAAAGTTTTATTGGAACATCGCCACACTTGGACATTGGCAACTTTCACAGTACAGCCACTGGACTGGGTAGACATGACAGGAAATTCTGTGGTCCACAGAGTGAAATTATTTTCTCTCTATCTCTAAACAGAGTGAGTCAATTATTTAACCACAATCTTACAGTCATTTAAAAAAGAAGATGGTAGGCAGCTGTGTGTCCTCCATGCTCTGTCCTCCCTGCTCCACGGAAGCCCAGTTCTGCATGCCTGCCACATCCTGTGACTTTCTGCTCAGGCTCTCACTGATTGGCGGTCAGACTATGAGCAGCAACATGCCCTGCTCTCCCTGTGTACACCCCTAGCCCAACCCAGCCCAGCCCAGTCCCAACACAGTCCAGGAGGTGCTCCTTGAGGGAGGGGCACAGAGAGTCTGGCCCACTCAGAGCCCAGAATGTGCCAAGGGAGACCCTCTCAGAGTCCTCAGGGCGTGCAGGTTGGCAGTTGCTGGCATCTGGGCAAACGGGGCATTTCCTTCCTGCCAGAGTGATGGAGATATGTCAAAGCTGGATCAAGGTCTTCCATCCAAGTACTAACCAGGCCCAACTCTGCTTAGCTTCCGAGATCAGATGAGATTGGGCGTGTTCAGGGTGGTATGGCCATAGACTGGATCAAGGTCACACAGCATCGTGAGTGTACTGAATGCCACAGAATTGCTTGTTTCAAAAGTATTTCATTTTACAGTATGTTATGCCAAATGTTCCTCAATAGTTAAGGTTTTTCCTAAAGAAAATTGCTTAGGAGAGTAAAGGAAAATACGTACTGAGTAAGGTGTGGCCCCCTCTCCCCTGGCCCGAGGATGGGAGGATGACATGGTCTATGGTTCTCATCTGTTTGTCTCTGACAGAGGTGGAGAAGACCCGGTGCCAGCAGGAGCGGGAGCACATTCTTGAATCTGTGGGGGCAGCAGACACACAACGGCCCCGCCCACCAGGCCTGTTTGTCCCCGAGTGTGATGAGCATGGCCACTACGTGCCCACCCAGTGCCATGGCAGCACAGGCTACTGCTGGTGCGTGGATCGTGATGGCCGTGAGATAGAAGGCACCAGGACCAGACCGGGACTGAGACCCCCATGTAAGTGGAGGACAACCAGAGCCACAGCAAGCCTTGGGCCTAATGGGTGCTCCCCTTCCCCTCACCCCTTCTCTGCACGGCCTCTCTCTGCTCCTCTCCAGCCTCTTACCTTCTCCCTTCTTTTCCATGTGCCAGCGTGTTCTGTGGCAGTCTCTTGTGGGACCTGTTACACTGCCACTGTGATGGTGGTGGCAGGGTGGGGATGGTGGGACAACCCTTCCCCAGATCCTCATTCAGATGGCGGGGTCCACGCATTCACCTCCTTCACAGTCAGGGTCCTTGAATTTCTCTCGTTACTTTTCACATCCCAGCTATAGACAGTCAAAAAGATAGCAGTGGGCAGGTGCCGTGCTGAGGGCTGGGAACCCTGGTCTGAGGCCAAGCAGGACTGTATGGCTGTGTATGTGCCCTCTTCCAGCCTTGGCCTCAATAAAAGATATGAGCAAAGTCATCTTGGAGTGTTCTTCCAGCTCTGAAATGCTGCTTCTGTCGCAGAATGGGAAGTGGGCACTGTTACAAGTTGCCAAAAGCTGACTTAAGTCATCCTTGAGACTTTGCTCTCAGGTTACCTAGTAATATATCATAAATGGACCCATTCCATGTTTCCCTAAAGCTGCTAAGAAATAGTGAAGTGCTTACTCACAGCCTGCATGAATTCACATGGCTGGCCAACCTTGGCTGAGCATCAGGACTGTGAATATCTGAAGGAAAGTCATCATGCCTACTGCCTGGATTCCCCGGGGACAAGCACACAGCTGGGAGGATGCAGGGTGCTAGCTGGCCACAGCACAGGGAGTGGGTTTGTAAGCAGGGTACGGAATGAGCCATGGGAAAGGCAGGTGTTTCAGGTAGCCACACAAGCTGAGAAGTGCAGGTTGGCAATGTCATGGGGGAGGTGCCCATCAGATGCCAGGCTGTGAAGCCTAGGCAGTTTTCCTGAGAGCAACAAGGGACCCAGTGAATTTGGAAGGGTTTTGAGTGATCACTGACAACATGAAGCAGATAGCACTTTTAGCAGTGTCACTGCTGGGGGGCAGGAATTGAAATGCAGACGTAAGAGCCCTTAGCATCTCTTGCTGTGCTCACACTTAATCCAGGTAAGAAATGGGAAGTATGGGCAGTGAGTCTGAAGAAGACAGATGCAATCTGGGGATTCTAAAGAGGTTGACTAGACTAGTTCAGGTATAATAGGCAAGGTAAACAAGGGATTGAACTAGAAATGACCTTGGCAGTGACCTGACTCAGCTCCCTCACTTCAAGAGGAAGAGGATGCAGCCCAGGGAGGTGCATGTGAGAGTGACAAACCCAGGTCTTAGGCTCCCTGGTACCTGTCCAGTACTCCCTCTCTGCAGCACAGGCTGTCCAGGCCCTCCTGGGGCCATTCTGGTCAGCTGAGTCCGAAAGCAATGCCAGGGATCAAGATCAGCCGTTGGGAGGGCAAGGCTAAAGTTGAAGGAGGGGGCATCCTTCACCGTCCCTTTGTTCTTCAAAGCCCAGAAGGGGCATGTTCCTGCTTGTCACGTCCAAGGCAGATGCGACCTTTGGCTGTGGCACAGGACACACAGGGCAAACTTTGCGCTAGGCTTCTCCAGCAAAGCTTCTGCTAGAAGGTAATTCCCCTGAGGCAGGCATTCAGGCTGCTGCTGCTAGTGTGGGCTTCACTAATGACCAGCCCCAGTGCCCAAAGCATGGTGTGAAGAGCCAAGTTACTTTAGATAAGAGGGAGGCTATGCACTTTTCCCCAACTGGACCTTGAATGTGAGGCCCATAGTCCTCTTTGCAAATGTCCTTTGGTTGAGCACTTTCTGCTGCTGGGTGTGAGTTGAGCATGTTGTGGCTGTGTGGTTTGTGATACTGTGAAGGTTATGCTACTGAGTGTGTGGATGTGTTTGCACACTGTGCGTGTACATGTATGTGAATGTGTGCACTTGTGTGCATATGTGCAGGCCTTGCTCACTGACCTCTCCTGTGACCTAGGTCTGAGTACAGTGGCTCCACCAATTCACCCTGGACCCCAATTGCCTACTGCTGTGATCCCCCTGCCCCCGGGAACCCACTTGCTCTTTGCCCAGGCTGGAAAGATAGAACGTCTCCCGCTGGATGGAAACACCATGAAGAAGACAGAAGCCAAGGCGTTACTTCACATGCCGGTGAGTGCTGGCTGATTGTACGTGGCGACTGTTCCTACTCAGTGACCTGGAAAAATAAACAGGGTGCTGAGCTCAAACTCTGGAACCAGAGTTCTCATGGTTCTGGGTGGCCTGAGTTCCTGACTGGACACGAGAAGGCTGTACGGAGATGACCAGGTGGGGCCTTTACAGTTTGGTATCTCACCTACATGCATGCACCTGTTGACTGTCACCTTCCATTCCTGCGAAGTTCATCATGACTCATCTCAAAGGCTTTCTGTCAGCCCTGTGGTAGTAACAAGCTCCGGCTTAGAGGTTTTTGAAAGCTTCAGGCAGAGCTGCATTTAGTAAAGTGGGGGGGTTTCTGTGCATTTGAGGAAGTGTAGGGCATTCTGTTTATCTGGGTCTCTGACTTCTGCCAAGACCTCACATGTGAGACAGGGTGGGGAGTTCCCTGGCAGTGAGTGTTAAGGCGCAGCCAGAGGGATGTGAGGGTCTTGTAGTGAGGCAGAGCCAGGGGCCAGGTTCTTCAGCCCCCATGAGGACTGGTTCTGTGTTCCTAAAAACATCCAGGAAAAGACTCCTGTATGCCATATTGCCTGTCTCAGGCCAAGCTTCCGGCTTGGCTTTTCTTCTTCCTTCCTTTACACCACTGCTTCCTGCTGCTCCCCCTACGTTCTCTTGTCACCTGGGTCTCCACGTCACAGTTGCACACACAGATGCCATGTCTCTTCTTTTTCTTTCTTTTTTTTTTTTAATTGCAAAGTCAGATATACAGAGAGGAGGAGAGACAGAGGAAGATCTTCCATCTCTTGATTCACTCCCCAAGCAGCCACAAAAGACAGAACTGTGCTGATCCAAAGCCAGGAGTCAGGAGCTTCTTCCAGGCCTCCTGCATGGGTGCATGTCCCAAGGCCCTGGGCCATTCTCAGCTGCTTTCTCAGGTCACAAGCAAGGAGCTAGATAGGAAGTGGGGCCACAGGAACAAGAACTGGTGCCCATATGGGATCCCAGCACATGCAAGGTGAGGACTTTAGTTATCATGCAACAGCCCTGGACCCACTAAATCCCTTCTTCTTTAGGGGAAGGAAGAAACGTCAGCCCAAAGATATAATAGTAAAGAAGGCGTCAAAGACCACTTGCAAAGCAACACATGTCCTTCCCCTGCACAAACCCCTCCAGTGGGTTCCCACTCCCCTTAGGATAAAATACAGCCTTTATCAGATCTTCAAAACTGCACACGAGGTGGTCATCAGAATGTAGTAGTTCAGTTATCACTTGGGATACCCACTTCCCATATTAGATGCCTGTTTGGAGTCCTGGATACTTCCCTTTCTATCAAGCTTCCTGCTGATGTGTGCCCTGGGAGGTAACAGATAAATGAAGTACTTGGGGCCTTGCCCCCGACATCAGAGACCCAGGTGAGATCAGGGCTCCTGGCTTGATGGGCATTGAACCAGTAGATGGAGAATTTATTTGTACATGTCTGTTTGTCTCTCTGAATTTCAAAAAAAATGAAAATAAATAAATGGGTTAATAATTTTATAGGTAATATTTCTGAATCTGTAAATCTGCTTATGGAGGTCTGGTATCATATCAGTGTTAAATACTATGCCAGTACCCTAACTTACCTCTTCATTTAGTTGGACTAACTTTAATCTTCCTCTACAGTGTTTTCTTATATTCAGTTTGGAGTCATGCACCTTTTTTTTTTAAGGATTTATTTTATTTTTATTGCAAAATCAGATATAGAGAGGAAGATCTTCCATCCCATGATTCACTCCCCCAGTGACCGCAACAGCCAGTGCTGCATCAATCTGAAGCCAGGAGCCAGGAGCTTCCTCTGGGTCTCCCACACGGGTGCAGGTTCCCAAGGCCTTTGGGCCATCCTCAACTGTTTTCCCAGGCCACAAGCAGGGAGCTGGATGGGAAGCGGAGCTGCTGGGATTAGAACCAGCGCCCATATGGGATCCCAGTGCGTTCAAGGCAAGGACTTGAGCCACTAGGCCACGGCACTGGGCCCAGAGTCATGCACCTTTAAAAATGTTTATTATTAATTATCTTATGTTTTTTGATGCTAAAAGTTTGCTTTTAAATTATTCTTTGTGTTAGCATATTCAAATATGATTTTATATTGGCCTTATATTTAGCAACATCGCCAGATCCAGGTATAGTTGTGATAGTTTTTAAGAGTTTCAAGGACTTTCACTGTAAACAATTTTATTCTTTTAGAATGGAGTGATTTTACTTCTCCCTTTCCAGTATTTTTGCTTTGCTTCTTTTTCTTTACAAACTTTGGATAGGCTGAGATTTCCCAGAAGGAGTATAAACAGCAGTAGTCTTGAGAGCAACAAATAACAAGTTTGATTTAATAAAAATTTAAAACTTTTGCTGTTTTAGAGACATCATTAAGAAAATGAAATAGCAAGCTATATGTGAGAAAGTAAACGTGGATATAATATTTCTATGTGTATGTGTACCTGTAATGTCTATTATAGAGGAAGGGGATTTATATAAAATAAAGAACTCCTACAATTCAATAATAATAAAAAAAACTTTAATGGGAAAAAGATTTGAATATGCTCATTCAGAAGATCTGTTGTGGTGAAGCATGCAGAACCGCTACCTGCAGCACTGGCATCCTGTACGAGCACGGGTTTTGTCCCAGCTGCTCTACTTCAGGCCATCTGCCTGCTAATACACCTGGGAAAGCAGTGGAAGACCCAAGTGTTTGGGTCCCTGCCATCTGAGTGAGAGACCTAGATAAGAGCTCTTAATTGCCGGCTTCAGCCTAACCAGGCACTGGGCATTTGTCTTCTGGGGAGTGAAGTAGCAGATGGAAGATCTCTCCTTCTCTATCTGTAACTCTGCCATTCAAATAAATAATCTTTAAAATATATATAACAGGAAGATATCCAAGTGTCTGTAAGCACATGCAGATTCTTATTATTAGGCACAGAGATGGGCCAGGTCCACTACCTCAAAGCACCACACTTTCCAGATCCTCTGGTTCCAAAGGTCCATAATTAAATCATGAGCCTCTGGTTTTTTTAGCCTAAGAAGCTTTAATATTAGGATGGTTGTGGTATACATTTCTCATCATTCATCAGTGGTCTTCTTTTGAAGGAGAAAGTCATCATTGGACTGGCCTTTGACTGTGTGGACAAGATGATTTACTGGACAGACATCAGTGAGCCTTCCATTGGGAGGGCCAGTCTGCATGGTGGGGAGCCATCTACCATCATTCGGCATGGTGAGTATGTTAGATTTTGTTACTCTAAAGAAAATACCTGAGACAACCTAGTTAGGAATGAAGTGGGGTTATTTTGGCTCAAGGATCTGAAGTTCAAGTCCAGAATCAGGCAGTCCCATTGGTTTGTCCTCCCAGGAGGGTGGTGGCTGGGAATGGCAGAACACCAGCAGAGGTAGACCAGAAAGCAGAGAATGGTGGGGACCAACTTGGCTTTTATGATCAATTCCGCAGGCAGTGACCTAAGGACCTCCCACTCTGCCTACTTCCTCAGTACCATAAGTTCCCACGTTCTTACTACCATGAGCTACAACTTATGTGAAGTCCATAATGAGTTTGGAGGATAAGTCACATTCAGGCCATAATATTAGGCAAGCAAACATCATTTTTCCTTTCTTGTTTTACTTCTAGCAGCTAAAGTGGCTGTTGGCAGAATGTGCAGGGGTGGAATATATGGCTGGTTATAGGGGCTGGTGGTGTGAGAAGGGTCAGTTCTGCCTCAAAACACCACCATTTCTAGCTTCCCTGAAGAGTTCTCCAAGGGCTCATATTTAAATCATGAACCTTTTTGTTGCTAGCCTAAGAAGAATAAAACTGTAGCAAAGCTAGTGTCTTTCTTGTAAAGCTTCATGTTATGAAAATTTCCTGAACAATACACAGAACACACACAGAAACTAAAAACTCTACAAGGGAGATTAGCAAACTGGGAAATAATGGGTGTATATAGCATGTGGCTTTACTCCCAAATAGTGGTAGGATTCCCATTATTATTTTTAATTATGCACTTAGATTGTGTTACTTTACATTATTCCTTTTCCTTGTCATGTTATGCTACATTTATAAAGCAGAAAACCAGTCCTGTAATGGTGAAATGAATGACTATGCCATTGTAATAACTTGGGAAGAAATAATAGAAGATGTGATATGAAAATAATAGGGATGTGGGGAGGGAGTATTGAGTGCAAGTGGGATGATCCCACATGCATGTAAATTTATACCATGGGAAAAAGTGTGTTTAAAAAAAAGTCAGGCCCTTCATCTGGATTTAATATCCATTTTCCCTCTGGCTTCTGGGCCTAGAGCTAGTTCTCTAAGCATTTGTGCCACGCTGTGCTCCCTTGGCGTTTTCCCTAAGGCCATAGGCACATGAGTTATACAGTACAGATGGGTCACAAGCATGTTAGCAAATACTAACTTTCATGGTCACATCTACTCCTAACACAGTTTTCAGGTTAAAGGGCTGTCACTGCAGCTGCCACATGGTGAGCAAGAGGTTTTTCTTCTTGACCTTGCCCCTACTGAGCACGCTCTGATTGCCTACACCACAGGAGTCCAGCAGATCAGGCTGACTGCTGACCGCTGACCGCTAGTTCTCAGTTTTCTGTGGCATGACTGATGAGAAAGTGTGTGGGATGCTTTGGCATAGCCTGCCCTTCCTCATTTTACCCAAGTCACTTAAAGATCCTGCTTGAAATCAAGAACTGCATTGTTTATTTTATTTATTTATTTTTGCCCTACACTAAACAAGTTAGGACCATTTTGTAATGGGTGTGCTTTGTCTCATTTAAATACTATTACAACGAAAATCCAAGCATCTGTAAAATTGGCCATGTACTGAAAAGGTCAAGGCTTGCGTGTTGCTTAATAGTCAGTGACTCATAAGCTTAGCTGCGAATGTTTGTGCTCAGAAGGCCTGGTCAGGCTGATGACATTTTTTGTAAAGTTACCTCTTTGTAAAATGTGCAAGCTGGGGGCTCATTGTAAAATCTCTGAGTCTTATTTCATGTTTCTTTTTCTTTTGTAATTACTTGTAAGGTTCATTTTATTTATTTTAAAGGCAGAATGACAAAGAGGGGTGGGGGTGGGAGGGAGATAGAGATCTTCCATCTGCTGCTTCATTCCCCAGATGACCATAATGATTGATGCTGGGCTGGGCTGAAACCAAGAGTCTGGAGTTTCCTCCAGGTCTCCCACGTGGGTGGCAGATCACCTTCATCTGCTGCCTCCCCAGGCACGTTTGCAGGGAGCTGGGTCAGAGGTAGAACAGCCAGGGCTAGAATGGGCATGCATATTGATTTCTAGAGTCACAGGCTATGTCTTAACTCACTATACCACACCGCCACCTCCCTCAAGTTTCTTTTCAGTTGGGAATGAATGTAGCCTTTTCAGATTCCAGCTGAAGAGTTCTTGAACTATCCCTATCCCTGAGGAATAGCCCCTGGGGCATGCTTTCCCTTCTTTGGCTCCTTCACAAGAGATGACCCAGCAGAAACTAAGCTAAGGATGAATTCATCGCATCTACCTTTGGACATAGACCCAAGTCCTTTTCTGCAAACCAGTAGACAGTAAATAATGTCTGTGAGTTTCATGCTGTGATTTTATGTACAGACATTTAAAAATGCCTTTTGTGCTTTCTTTTTTTTGTTGTTAAAAATGTTGTTACTCTTATCTGCTATTTTATTTCAAATCCCAAATGGAAATGGGGATTGTGTCATTTATTGCTATTTCCTGTTGTTTTTGGAGCTAATCATCATCCAAGAAAGCTTTAAACACAGTGAGAAGCATTCCAAGCACAAAGCCTATTTGCTGGGAAAATGCAGAATTTAACCAAAATAGGCCTTTTGTGAAGAAAAATCACTGGGAATATCTGTAAGAGAGATAGGAACTTGCCTGGTAAGCGAGAATGGCAGTGATTATCTTTTCTTCCTTATTTCAGTCCAAAGCTTGGACTTCTCTTTCCTTGATGTAAAGTCCCAGCAAAATGTGTTTTTGCAAAGATTATTTTTTTGAAAGGCAGAGTTACAGAGAGAGAGAAGGAAAGACAGAGGGCGAGATCTTCCATCTGGTGGCTTATCCCCACAAAAGGCTACAGCGGCCAAAGCTGGGAGCCTGGAACTTCCTCTGGGACTCCCACTTGGATTCAGGAACCCAAGCACTTGGGCTGTTTTCTGCTGCTTTCCCATAGCAGCTGGCTGAATCGGAAGTAGAACACCTGGGACTCAAACCTACACCCATATGGGATACTGGTACTGCAAGCAGCACCCTAGCCCCACAATACCACAGTAAGCCCCATACCCCCAGCTAAATATTTTAATGGGAATCATAATCTGTTTCTTTGTAACACAAGCAATCTCATCTTCTTTCTCCTGCTGCACAGCATAGGGCGAGGTTCCCCAGTATGCCCACGAGGGAGCACTTTTGGTCCTGAGAATCGGAGGCTTGATTGCCCCTGGGTCTGCCCTCAGGACCAGAGCTATATATTTCTAATATATAGTCCTCTGGGGCTTCCCAGGAATCTCATAGATTTTATTGCTGATCAGCCTTTTCCCACCTCTCTGTCTGTTTGGGCAGCTCATGGGGTGTGCTTGCTCCAAATGTACCCTCGGATTTATTCTGGTTCTGTCTAAAAGTGACAGGGTCCTTGGGAGGTCAGTGTCATGGTGCCATTGCCTTTAGGGAGGTGTTAATATTTTATGTAGCTCCACTTTGGTTTAGATTACAGAGACCTTTTCCAAGTCTGGCTTCTGATTGTTAATAAAGTTTTCTGAGGGTGACCTTTCAGGGACTTTGTTGCTTCTGTCTTAGGGGTCCAGTGAAGTCAGAACCCAGGGGACAGAGGGTCTGTAGTCTGTTTTGATGCAAGATTTCAGTGTTATGATGGTTTCCCCACAGCACAGATTCCTCAGACAGGGCCTCCTCTTATACTTCCTACTCACATGGTAGCCATCCTCAGTGACTTTCAGTACAGACCTTTATACAAGGAAAAGAATCCTGAATGGGACCACTAAAGCCCAAAGTGCCACTTTTAAAAACATGATGATGATGATGATTGGAAAGGCAGATTTACAGAGAGAATCTTCTACCTGCTGGTTCTCTTCCCAAATGGTTGCAACAGCTAGAGCTGAACCAATCTGAAGCCAACAGCCAGGAGCTGCTTCTAGTTCTCCCACATGGGTGTAGGGTCCCAGAGATCTGATCCATCCTAACCCCTATTTTTACTTAAAAAAAAAAAAAGCCAGGAAAGCCATTGCTCACCTAAACTAATGAAAGTTAAATGGAAGCCCAGTAGTCACATGTAAAATTCCCAGTGGCAATCCTTGGCCTAAAAATCAGTTGCTGTGATACAGTGGAGCCTTTCTGGGAATTTATTTATTATTATTGATACTCCATATGTGTACCCCTTTTACTTCTAGGAAATATCAGATACGATTTCCTAGAAACATTCTTCCCTAAGCATTTTTGCCTCACAAACTAGTTATTCCTTCAGAAGCCACCTTCAAGAAGCTGTTTTCAGGCCCAGCGCAGTGGCCTAGTGGCTCAAGTCCTCACCTTGAATGCGCCGAGATCCCATATGGGCACTGGTTCCAATCCCAGTGGCTCCACTTCCCATCCAGCTCCCTGCTTGTCGCCTGGGAAAACAGTAGAGGATGGCCCAAAGCCTTGGGATCCTGCACCCGTGTGGGAGACCTAAAGGAAGCTCCTGGTTTCGGATTGACATAGCACTGGCTATTGCAGTCACTGGGGAAATAAAACAGCAGATGGAAGATTTTCCTCTATGTCTCTCCTCCTCTCAGTATATCTGACTTTGCAATAAAAATAAATCTTTTTTTTTTTAAAGCTGCTTCCTCCAGAAATCTTTACCTGGATTCCAACTCCAGTCTCTTGCAGTCTGCCACACAACCTGGAGCTCAGCATTGGGACTGGGCCCTAGGCCACAGTTTAGACATCATTACACTTCTGTTCCCAGGCCTAGAGCATCATGGGTACTACAGGAGCAAATGAGTGGCATTTTTAATTTATTGCTCTGAGGATTGCTTGTCTTACAAACAGGAAGCATTTTCAATCCCCATCTGGCTTCTCAGAGCCACAGGAGTGGATATTGTGTGGGAGAGTCTGGTGAGCACCTATTTAGACAAAAACAGTGAGAGGAGACGCGTGTTTGGTTCCAGATCTCGGGAGCCCAGAAGGCATTGCCATTGACCATCTCGGCCGCAACATCTTCTGGACGGATTCTCAGCGGGACCGGATAGAGGTCGCCAAGCTGGATGGCACCCAGCGCCGGGTGCTGTTTGAGACTGACTTGGTGAACCCCCGAGGCATTGTGACGGACTCCGTGAGAGGGTATCCTTGCCTAAACCTGGGTGTGTCTCTGTCCCCCTCCCCTCCCGCCTCTCAGTTGCAGACTGCGGGCTGGCTCTCCCAAGGTGAATGTGTACAGGCTAAAGCAGGTGATGGTTGGTGGCTTAGCGATATCCACCATGAATTCCCTGGGCCCACACTGCAATGTGGGCTTGATCCCGTGTTCCCCTTGCAAATCATTTACCAAGAGACTCTGCAGGCTGACAGCTCAGAAACTGGGCATTTTCCCTGTGGCTTCAGTGAAGATCAACAGTCAAGCTGCATGAACCCCAGAAGAGCACAAAGGAGGGTGGTATTAGAGTGCCCTGTGGCTCCTCCCTTGGGCAGACCCCACTTGAATACACTGGAGCCTCGCCTGTGGCATTCTCTAGCTCATCCTGGCCATTTCCATCTGGCCCTCATTGCAAACCCTGACTCTCCCAGCCCAGGCCTGTGCCTCTCTCACACTTTGGTTCTGTCCTTTTGAGGAAATCCCTTGTTCTGTGACCCCTAAGCCACCTCCTCAGGGGAAGGTGCTTTTACCGCCAGCTCTGCCACCTTAGTCTGGTCCCCTGGGTCTGCAATGCCTCCCTGCCTGATGGTGTCATACAGGGAATTTCTGTCAGTTACAGGTTTTCTTGTTTGATGAGCAGCTTTGTGAAGGCATAGTCTATCAGTTAAGGGAAAAGGGAATTGGATTTTGAAGGTAACAGAAAAAGCATACTTCAGGGACTGCTGAAGAACTCGTGTTACAGCTGCCTCCAAATCCTTGGCAGCCATTGTGTGCTTGTATCTCTGCTGATTTCTCGGGAAGGTTTGTTTCATCAACTTTTCCTCATAAGTCTTTGTTGTTTCTCTTCTTCTCACCTCTTCTTGTCCTCCTCCAGGAATCTTTACTGGACAGATTGGAACAGAGATAATCCCAAAATTGAGACTTCCTATATGGATGGCACCAACCGCAGGATTCTTGTGCAAGATGACCTGGGCTTGCCCAATGGGCTGACCTTCGATGCGTTCTCATCTCAGCTCTGCTGGGTGGATGCAGGTGATGCAAGGCTTGGCCATGTCCAGGGAGAATTCTCAATTGTTTGAGCCGGGGATTGGCAAACTATAGCCTTTAGGCCCAATCCAACTGCCACCTGCTTTCAGATAACCCAGAAGTTATGTGGTTTTATATTTTAACATGCTACACTTTTAAGTTGCTGCTTAAAATACCTGCAGACTATTCTTGCTTTTGTCTCACTGTGCACAAAACACAAGGTAATGACTGGGTGGCCCTTTAAGGAAAAGCAGGGTGACTTCTGTCCTAAGTAGTAGTAGTTGGACAGACCTGTAATCATCTTGATATCTGTTAAGGAATTCACAACTTAGATTTTCTGTAGCTCCCCATTGTCTCCCAAAGGCCCAGTCAGCACTTGGAGCCAAGCAGGATCAAGTAAGAACAACCCACATGTAGTCTGTTCTTTGTGCTCATACCTGGCAGGTGTGGGTATCCCTCTAGCTAGGAATGCAGGGAGCCTGCCAGATACTGGAGGAACATCAGGCTCTCTCCATGAAAATCTGTTGAGCACTTTTCTGTTGCAGACACTATGTTGGGTTCCATGGGAGATGAATGGGAGGCTGTGAGTCATGGTCTCCTTCTAGTTGGGACAGAGCAAGGCATGGACACTTGAATGAACACATGGGCCTGAAGTGGTAGCCATCATGAAGGTGTTGATGGGAGCTGTTTGCTGTTAACAAGGGGTACAGATGAACAATCCTTAAAGGCTCTGAATTCAAAGGGCAGGAAGATTTGGAGAAGCTACAGGAAAGAATTTGGGCAAGAGCTAGAAGATGATGTATTTCCTTCTAAGAGAACCTGGGCAATGGAGTTGACTCAGACACCAGCTACTTCCAAAATAGCTGGAGCAAGTTGCAGTTTCTCTGCCCCATCTCCTGCTTCTCAGCTGAAGCAGGTATGGGAATAGACATAGGTGTTGATCCTGGAAAGGCGCAAAGCACAGGATGAGAAAAACAGCTCTCCGGTTTTTAAAAGCAAGCCACATGTATTGTTTAGGACCTGGAATGTCAATGCAATGCCAAATTCCCCACCTCTGCTCTGGGTACCCTTGAGTTTTGATACAAAGGCCCCATTTCTGGCATGAACAATGTGTGACTTGTGTTTGCTCCACACAGGCACCAATCAGGCAGAGTGCCTGAACCCCAGTCAGCCAAGCAGACGCAAGGTCCTTGAAGGACTTCAGTATCCTTTCGCTGTGACAAGCTATGGGAAAAATCTGTATTACACAGACTGGAAGACGTAAGTTGACTACTGCTGGCGGCTGGGCAGGCTGATGCTCCCACTCTGTCTCTGCAAAGCCATACCCTTCCCCTCTGGCCCCTTATCTTGGCCTTGACATCCAAAGATATCCTTTCTTCCTCATCTTTTGGCCGTCAGGAGAGAGGTTAGAGGGTGTGTAGGAGATGGGGAACACCATCATTTGTTAGCTGGCTACTTCTGGCTGCACAGTCTCAAGGATGTAATCTTGGACTTCCTGTGCGTGTCTGTCCCTTCCCCAGGAGCTGGCCCAAGGATAGCTTCATACACATTTCATGTCCCTGCTTGAACCCCCACAGCCCCTCTTGAACCCCCTTTCTGCCAAAGAGGGGTTAAACCAAGTAGGCAGCTGGCCAAGTATGTCTAATGGGAAAGCTCATTTCCTGCCTGGAATTTAATGTGGGAGGGGAGCAACAGCTTCTGTTTGCCTTTCCTTGTGAAGCCAAAAAAATGCAGTAAGAAAAGGACAGCTAAGGAGTAAGGCCACATTGTCTGCTTATGGCCTCCGACTTATGCCCCAAAATGCCAAAAAGTTTCCCCAGTGAAGAAAAGTTCAGGCCATCTAGACGTGCTTTTGACTTTCTACCCTTTGGTACTTTGAAGGAATTCTGTGGTGGCTGTTGATCTTGCTATTTCCAAAGAAACGGATTCCTTCCACCCGCACAAGCAGACCCGGCTGTATGGCATCACCACTGCCCTGTCTCAGTGTCCCCAAGGTAACTCACCTGTACTGTTGAGGCTGGGGGAAATGCTGGTCACACTGGATAGGATGTGCAGTCCTGTCCACCCAGGGTATTAATTACTGAGTGGAGGAGCCTTGTGAGTGCAAAGAGCACACCAAGGCATGAAGTAGACAATAACCTATGGCACTTCCTGTGGTTGATATCAACTCAGAATTCCAGGTGCTTTGTATTTAGTAGTTGATTTCACTCTCATAGCAGCCTTGTGAACTGGGCACTGCTCTGCCCATTTTGTAAAGCAGGAAAATGGAAACAAGTGACTCAAAGTCATAGCACTCACAGTGGCAGAGCCCCAGGTGAGTTCAGACAGCCTGGCCCTGTAGTCTATCGGATGCTGCCTCTCAAAGGCCTGTCCCCTTCCCCTTTTTCCAGTTAAATGAAACCAGGAGTGTAAACTGGATAGAAAGTACCCTGTGCATTAAAAGTCTACCTCCATGTTCTATTGGGAGCTAGAGAATCCTTTCTGAGATCTGTTTCATAGCTTTAGAGGTAAATCTGCATAGCTTCCAAACTGAGAATCAGTGTTTTGGCAGGTCTGGCTTATAGACAGCAGAGTAGCTTAGCTGAGTGCCCAGTACAGTGTTCTTTTCCCCTGGAGAATGCCTCACAGAAGCTGAACTAAGGTTATAAGATATCCAATCTCTCAGTGACTATTGAATCAGACCAGAGAAGACTGTTGAACTGATTTCTGCCTTTTCTAGGCCATAACTACTGCTCAGTGAACAACGGCGGCTGTACTCACCTCTGCTTGGCCACCCCAGGAAGCAGGACCTGTCGTTGCCCTGACAACACCATAGGAGTTGACTGTATTGAGCGGAACTGAAGATAAGAATGCTTTGTTTTCTCTCCAAGTATTTCACAGCAACATCCTACTTGAATCTACTTGGTCAGACTGAAAACTGTCCTCTGCCTGAGTGACCACTAGGCTCAGGTCCAGCCCAGCCTGAGCCCCAAGAACTTTCCTCTCTCACTGGTCCCCTAAAAATACACTTCTATAGTGGGAAAATTTCTCCCCTCTACATGAGGACAGAAGCTCTCACTTTATCCCAGCCCTCATGTAAAAGCCTTATAAGAGCCTGGGTGATGACTGTCCACCCCATCCCAGTTCCCTGGGACCTTTCCCCAATCTTAGAACCCCAAGTGGTAAGTAGAACTACTCCAATCCTGAGTTGGCCCCTTCTTTGAGTCCTTAAAAGCTCAGCCTCATTCAGAGGCAGCCGTCATCCTGTCAACTGCTCAGCACACCAGCCAGGGTCTACCTGGGCAAGGCTGTGAGTGAAGGAGGGAGTTAGCCCTCCCATACTTTTTATCTTGGTGCTCTGATGTCCCTGTTTATAGTCCCATTTCTTTTATTCCCCATTTCCTCATTACCTTCATCCCAAGGCCCCCAGTGTAATGTGTATGTTCTGCCTTTTGATCAGAACCCATCCTATCCTAGGGAAAACAGGGGTACTTTGTGAATGAAAATGAGCACCCCTTCCCAGATAAAATATTGGCATTATGGTAGTAGCCTTTGATACCCAAAGGCATAAGTTAAAGAAGCATCCTATGTAGAGCCAGATGTTTGAGACTGAGGAATTATTTTGATGTGCCTTAAGTGATACCAAAGATTATCAGACTCACCTTATTTTACTGAACATTATATCCTAGCATCTGGTCTCTGGTGCTGTGAACTCATGGCACTACTGTCCTAGCTACTAATACAGACTTGTCAGGCACAGATTAGTGGTGGGACAAGATGAGGACTCTTCAGTCCATCAATTTTGGCCTTTACTCCAGAGAACCAATTTATACTTATCCATGAGTTTGCTTGCTCTTTTTTTTCCCCCTATCTTTGAATACTAGTGACTATATATATAGCCTTCTAAAGATAATAGGAAGACCAAATTGGCTAATTATATGAATGGTCCAAATTCCGTATTGTTTGTTTGTCCAGTTAAATGGACCACTGCTGCATTTCATGTTTATATTTCTAAAATTTGTTTAGAGAGCATCTGCTTTAAGTAGCTAGTGCTATCTTTTCATCACCCACTCCCCAGAATCCTAAAGCAATGGACATGTTGGACTGAAATTTGAACATAAGGCATTTGAGTCAATAAAGGGTAGGGTAAAGAGAACTCAAAGAAATATTTTGAGGAGATTAACTCACAGCAGGAATGGAAAATCCAAGAGGAATGGGTAGGAAAGAGGATTTATAAATGATGATGATTTAAAAAAAAAACTTTAAATAACTTCAAAGATAAAATTATATGTTTTGGTAAAGAATACTTGTACTTGAGGACATAGAAGAATTTTCTTAATATTCCCTTTGGGGAAGAGAGCTCTCTCCTTTTCTTTAAATCCCAGTATATTCAATCCCTCTACCTACTTTTTCCTCCTACCTTGTGCAGTACATCGGAACCTAAATTGGGAGAAAGTCCTTCCTTAAATAATCAGTTTATTTTCAGAGAAAACTCTATCCCCCAAATCATAAGATTTAGGGAACATATGAAACCTTTATATAGTCCAGGCCCATAAATTAGTCTCTTTTTGTATTTATCATTCCGTATCAAGTCTTCTATATCCAGTGTTTATTATGATTTTTATATAGTCTTATAACAGTGCTATTCATTTTATTATATTCATTTTCTAAAATTTTTTGAATGGTAATTCTTAAACTGTGGAAACACTGAAGGTGCTTATTAACTGTTGCCCCAGATTTATACAAGTGTTTGATGTCTTGAGTTTATCACCGTACAAATACTAGTACATAAAAAATTGTTAAAAGTATTAAACATTTTCCTCTGCCTTTTTTTAAATAAAAAGATTTGATGTTAGGAGGGTAATTTGTGATGGAAAGACAAACAACAGGGTGCCAGTGTTGTGGCACCGCAGGGTAAGTTGCCACCTGTGATGCCGACGTTGAACACTGGCTGAAGTCCTGAAAGCTCCACTCTGACCCAGCTCCTTGCCAGTGGTCCTGGGAAAGCAATGGAAGATGGCCCAGATGCTTGGTTCGGTCCCTGTCAGTCAACATGGAAGACCCAGATGGAATTCCAGGCCCTGGCTTCAGCCAGGGGAGTGAACCAGTTGATAGAATATCCTTGTCTCCATAATTCTTCAAACTAGTAAATAAACCTTTTTTTAAAACATTCATTTGGGGGCCCAGCGTGGTGGCGTAAGTGGTTAAGGTCCTCACCTTGCACGCCCGGGATCCCATATGGGTGCCAGTTCTAATCCCGGCAGCCCCGCTTCCCTTCCAGCTCCCTGCCTGTGGCCTGGGAAAGCAGTCGAGGACGGCCCAAAGCTTTGGGACCCTGCACCCATGTGGGAGACCTGGAAGAGGCTCCTGGCTTCGGATCGGCATAGCATCAACCGTTGCGCTCACTTGGGGAGTGAATCATCGGATGGAAGATCTTCCTCTCTGTCTCTCCTCTCTGTATATCCGCCTTCCCAATAAAAAAAAAAAAAATTCATTTGGGGCCAGCATGGTAGCCTTGCATGCACTGGGATCCCATATGGGTGCCAGTTCATGTCCCGGCTACTTCACTTCACATCCAGCTCCCTACTTTTGGTCTGTGAAACAGTAAAGAATGGTCCAAGGCCTTTGGACCTTGCATCCACATGGGAGACCCGGAAGAAGCTCCTGGTTTCTGGCTTCAGTTCAAATTGGCTCAGCTCTAACCATTGTGGCCACTTGAACCAGCAGACAGAAGATCTTTGTCTCTCTTTCTCTCTGTAAATCTTTCTAATAAATAAATAAGTCTTTAAAAAAAATGCTTTCTAACTGTGAGCAATGAAGTTTTCTAATTCATTTCTTCTTAAGATGCGCCTATTTCTTTCCCTCCTTACTTTAGAAGGTGACGTTGACCATCAAGTGAGACCTCTGGTGTATTCTAAGCTGCCATCAGTGAGCAGTGCCACCCGTGCTGGTCCCTGGGTGGGATTGTGAAGAGGCAGGAAGGCTAATAGGCAGTTAGGTTATTCCTGGCCAGAATGAGGAAAGGGGGAAATCTCTTTAGGAGGGTACAAAATTCATGCTTCTCCCCAAAAGCTGTCTTTAGCAAGATAAAAGTGCTGATACCACACCTCAAGAATTTCCATGTTTTTCTGGAGAATAGCGAAGTAGCCATTCAACCCTTCTGAGTTCTTAGCTTAGCATGAGGATAGAAAAAAGTTGCCTGTGTCACCTCTCTAATGCTTTTTTGTTTTACCATGAGCATGCTAAACAGCACTGCCATTCTGTCCTTCTCTAATTGGTTGTTATCTGCTGTCCTAATTTTTTCCCCAAAATTGTGTTTTTCCTTCCTGGATGCTGTGGCAGGAGGTTTCTGACCTGAGTAAATCCTGCTTTACTACTGTCTTGTTTGTGTGAAATTTCTTCTTTCACCTCTGACAGAAACCAAAGTTGCCCTCCTTTGTGCCATTTTCCCTGTAACAGGATGAGAATGGCGTCTGACGCAGAGTTCAGGGAGGTAAGAAGCCATAGGAATGAGGTGCCCAGAGCTCAGCTGACTTCAGTGTGAAAGGTGCCATCACAGAATCAGTGTGCAGCCTGCCAGTGCCCATTAAGTGGAAGGGACAAGTTACATTGGGACTAAAATAACCAATGTTACATCCTGGTCAAAAAAATCTAGTTATCTAAACATGACATCAGGGAAGATGGTAGGGTAGGAAGTACCAAGAATTCAGCCCCTCTATCAGAACAATCGAACTGGCAAGAGCTGTCTGAAACAATGGCATTGGAAGTCTGGGCTCAATTAGAACACTTGTAGCACCAGCAGAGAGCTTAGAAGAAACTGCTGAAGTTGAGTCGATTTCAGCATTTGCTAACAAGTGGCACTATCATCAGCCAGCCACATTCCTGGTGTGCCTTGCTGGAGTCAGAGTGGGCAGTAAGGATTCCATTCTCCAAAAATCAGGATTATGGTACATATTACCAATTGCTGCTTTTGATCGTTGGTGGTCCAGCTTATAAAAAAATTTTTTTTCATGATATCAGATTTGGCCATGCATTCTTGGAAATAATACCAAAAGCATGAACATCATAAGTGAAGCAGATAAATTGAACTTTAAAATATTTGTACTTCAAAGAATACTATCAACATTGTGGAAAGAACAATTCGGAGAAAACACCTTCAAGTCTTGTATATGATAACATCCAGGATGTGTGAAAAGCTCCTTCCTGCAATAAACCATTCAATAGTAACTAGAGGATATAAATGCACTTGTTTCCACAGAGGAAAAAGGCATAGGAAAAGAGGGTGCATATCATTAGTCATTAAGGAAACAAATTAAAACCACAGCTTGATACCACTTTACACACTTTGGAATGGCAATTGTCAAAAAGCTTTTGAGGAGGATGTGGAAACATTGGAACCCTTGAGCATTGCTGGGAATTGATCCTGGTGGAAATGTGATCCTGGTGCATTCAAGGCAGGGACTTTAGCCACTAGGTCACTGCGCTGGACTCCCATACGGGCACCAGTTCTAATCCCGGCAGCCCTGCTTCCCATCCAGCTCTCTGCCTGTGGCCTGGGAAAGCAGCGGAGGACGGCCCAAAGCTCTGGGACCTGTACCTGCGTGGACAGCTTGGAAGAAGCTCCTGACTCCTGGCTTTGGATTTGCTCAGCTCCGGCCATTGCAGCCGCTTGGGGAGTGAATCAGTGTACGCAAGATTTTCCTCTTTGTCTCTCCTCCTCTATATGTACATCTGACTTTGCAATAAAAATAAATAAATCTTTTTTAAAAATGTAAACTGGGGCAAACCCTGTGGAAAACAATTTGGTGGTTCCTCAAATGTTGCATATGGAATTGCCACATAATTCGGCAATTCTACTCCAAGCTGTCTAGTCAGAAGAATTGAAGGCAAGGACTGGGACAGATCCTCGCAGCTCTGCTCACTGTGACCAGAAGGTAGACACAAACCAAGTGTCCAACTGAGGAAATGTAACTTCACCAAGTTCACTGAGAATGAAAGTAGATTGGATACCTGGGAGACGGATCTAGGGTATTGTCTCTCAAATATCACACAATTTTTTTAAGATTTATTTTTATTACAAAGTCAGATATACAAAGAGGAGGAGAGACAGAGAAGATCTTCTGTCCAATGATTCACTCCCCAAGTGAGCACAACGGCCGGTACTGCACCAATCCAAAGCCGGGAACCAGGAACCTCTTCCAGGTCTCCCACATGGGTGCAGGGTCCCAAAGCTTTGGGCCATCCTCTACTGCCTTCCCAGACCAGAAGCAGGGAGCTGGATGGGAAGTGGAGCTGCCGGGATTAGAACCGGCGCCCATATGGGATCCTGGCGCATTCAAGGCGAGGACTTTAGCCGCAAGGCCATGGCGCCAGGCCCACACACAATTTTTGTTTGGGGTGATAAGATTTTGGAAATAGTGGTGATGGTTATGTAACAGTGTAAATGTTAGCACTGAATTGTGCATTTAAAATGCCAAATTATGATTTGCAACAATTTAAAAATAATACAATCTGCCAAAAAAAAATCTTTGCATGTACACCTTAGTGGTGAATTGCAAGGAAAGCCTGTGTGTCATATCTCAATTAAGCTTTTTTCTTTTAATTATTGTAATTGAAAGCAAAACCCCTAGTTACCTATGATTGGCTTTTTAAATCAAGACTATATGAAAGAGAGTTCAAGAGGGAGAAATCTCTTAAGAGAGATCTCCCATCCATTGATTCACTTCCCAAATGGCCACAGTGGCTGGGGCAGACTGAAGCCAGGAGCCTGGAACTCCATTTGGATCTCCCATGTGCTAGCAGGGATACAAGTACTTGAGCCATGATCTGCTGCTTCCTGTGCCAGATGGCAGGGAGCTGGATCAGAAGCAGAGTAGCCGAGGCTCAAATCAGCACTCTCATGTGGAATGCCAGTGCTCCCAGTGCTGGCTTAACCCGATTACCACAGCGTCTACCCTCCACTCTTTTCCTCACCTATTCATGGGTATAGTTTTAAAACAATCACCACAAGGCCCCCGGCATGAAGCCTAGTGGTTGAAGTCCTCTCCTTGCAACTGTTGGGATCCCATATGAGTGCTGGTTCATATCCTGGTTGCTCCACTTCCCTTCCAGCTCCCTGGTTGTGGCCTGGGAAAGCAGTAGAGAATGGCCCAAGGCCTTGGAACCCTACGTTGGGCACTCAGGAGAAACTCCTGGCTCTGGTTTCGGATAGGCTCAGCTCGTGCCATTGGGAAGTGAACCAATGG